GAGGGGAACGACGGGGTTTGCCTCGGAATAAAGGGTCTCGGGCAGCTTGGGGATGGTGGTCTTGATGATATAGGTAGGTGGTGAGTGAGTCATGTGGAGAGCCCACTTGGGCCGCGGGGTAAAGTGGAATAAGGCAGGGTCGAGGGAATGTTGGTGAGGGTGTTTTAGTTGGGAGGAAGAAGCGCCAGTGGCTCCCGGAGTGGTGAGGTGGAGAGGGACTGTTGAAAGGAAAGCACCGAGTCGTGTGAATTGTGACTCTTTTGAGTTGTAGCGATGATACAAGATTTCATATGTCTAACAAGGGACTTCTTTTCTTTTTTGTGTCGGGTGAAGCCTGTTGCCTTTTCCTGCCTGTTAACTGAAGGATGGTCCTGCATATAACACTTGACAGAAAGCCCCTGCCCAATCTGACAGTTGCTTACAGTGCATGTGTTTGGAAATGCTTACTGTACTTGTTGTGGACTGTGGTCCACAAACGTTTAGGACAGATGAAACTTCTTAGCCTTTAAGGCGATTCAAGTATTTGAGCCCACAACAAGTAAGCATTTCCAAACACGTGCACTGTATGCAGTTGTCAAGTACACAAGAGTGAGCAGAGGTGTCAAGAGTTGTGTGTGATGCTACTATCTATGGCATATCTCTTAGTTAATGGTTATTTGAGAAACAACAGATAATACCGGCAGTGTAATGTGGAAGGAACTCTTAAAACAGATGGAACCCCAAGAGAGTCTAGGCCCTGGCTGCACAAAGAATGGGGTTACTTAAAAGGCTATGGACTGGAGTTGGCAGAATCAAGGTAAACTTTTAAAAAAATAAGACTTTTTGCACCAACACAGTCCTTTGCTAGTACAGAGAAAAGGAGGCACCTTCACACCTATGTAATTGTTATCTGTGCTCTTCAACATGTATCCATGGACTGTTTCAGTGCCTCAGATGTTCTTGATATTGTCTGCTCTTGGGTGAAAGTTGTCTGATACATTTGTTGGTTGTACTGTGGTGCTTTTGACATAAAGTTGATGGGTGAAGCCATTTGCCATTTTATAAACAATACAACAAAACTGCTTTGATAAGTATCTGAACTTGCTACAAGGTGCTCCATTTCTGATACCTTTGATTAAAAAAAAGCTTTAGTTATGTGGAAGACAGAAGTTGTTACTACAAAAATAATATTGCTGCACCTTAAAAACTTTTTTAAAATGCTGGATGCTTTCATATGTGTGATCCTTTAGAACAGATGTGTCAGAAAGGCATAAAATATTTTAAAATGGGGAATTGGGACTGAAGGTATTGTAACATCTTAAAGATTGTTCACTGAAGGTGGAGCTTCCAACATATTTCCTATAAAGAAGGTGACAGAAGAGAAGTGGCATCATACCTCGTTACTTGCCAGTGAATTGGAAATGTGGAGTGATCAAAGTATCTCAAAGGAAACAGAAGAGCAGCCATGGAAATTATGCAGCACCTTGATAATATGAAACCTATGTACAATTCATGCCAGATATTTAAAAATTGGTTATTCCTACGTGTATGAATATCTGTGGGTCATGTCGTGTCATAATAGTATTAGAAACCTATAATCTGTTTGTATAGTATTACTGGCATTGTTGATGAATTAATTGTCACTTCCATCTTATGATAGGGTAGAAATAGCAATTATAGGAGAGGCTTGAAAATGTATATAGCCTGATGGAAAGTGGTCAGTAGCTATCGGGGCAAGGTAGATACATTCTAAACAGTTATGGAAGGCTACAACTAGTAGATTTACAGCTGGTGAATTTCAAATGGGTAATGATTTGCCTTCACACCTTTGATTTTGAGAGAAAACAGCCATTTCTTGGAACACAAATGTAGTCCTTCAGAGACAGTATATGTTGTTTTGCCCATTCACCAATTGACAAAAATGCAATGCCCCAAACCATCATGTAGCAGGAAGCCTAGTACAGCATGTGTTTAAAGCGATCTTACTGCTTTGACCAGACATTTTAATGGATTGGTAAGGGTAGTTGGTACCATGTTAGCTGGCTCATGTTTGGCAAAAACAAAAACAAACATGTTTGAAAGGACCCCCCCTCAAAAATAATTATTTTAAAGTATTGTAAGGGGCAAGGAAATGATTATGTTTGAGGGACTGACGTAGATTTTAGGACAGCTACAGCAAACAGGATGTAGTGGTTTTCCTAAGGTGGGAGGGATCAAAGTACATTCATGTAAGTCAAACGTAACCCACTTCCTTTCTCACGCCTCTATTTAATCTTCTAGAGAATGACTTGCAGCATGTATAACTTCCATTTTGATGTAGAACTAGATTTCATAATCATTCAGTTGAACAGTGCTGGTTGTAAAAGAGAAATCTTATACAGTTAAAGACTATATTCAGTGTTAAATAATGTGGCAAATTCTACCCTTCAGGACCCATTCATTATAATGTATCAAAAAACTGTCTCACAGTAATTCTTATAGTAAATAGAACTCCATACTTTAAAACACCTGGTAAGTTTATGGCCAAACTGGAATTTCATCCAACAACTTTCTAGATTATTGTTCATTTTCTTAACTAGTAAATCATGCCATAGTTTAACTGGTGCCCAATTAGTTTAAATGGATAACTTTCTTTTGCACACAATTCAATTTCTCTGCCTTTTAAGAGAAAATGGTTTTGTCTTGCATCTGTTGCTGGTATTTTGGATTATTATATATACCAGAGATTGGCATAATTATGTACTTTGGACATGTTGATTATGCTTTGCCTTCTTCTAGAATCTAATTATGCAAAAACAAGAGAAACACGGGGCACTGAAAGCCTACAGCAGCAAATGGCATGGAGTTTTAGGTTAGAATTACTCATGCCTAATGGCCTAAATGCTAACAATGGACTTTACATGTTTTTTATGCATCATGTGGGCTTGTTTGTATTTCATACTAGTTGACTACTAATACTTTAAGAGTGACTATGAAAAGAAGTTTGGCAGCTATGTGGTTGTACCTTGAAAACATTTAAAGACAGGTGCAAACTGATTACCAGTGAGTTGTTTCTCCCTGGGAAGCTTACTTGGACTGAAATTTGTGAGTGTGAAATAATAATAATGATTTGAATTAAATATTTTATTGAAGGTGCATGGAATGTGGATGTGTATTTTCTATACTTCAGATTCCTTGTTGGTAATACTGAGTCCTAGCCCTTTGATAAAGAAGATGGAAACCAAGTTTATATGCAAGCTTCTTGGTCAGCATCAATGGACAGTTTGTTACCAAAGTGAAACTAGATAGAAAAGTGGCAAAAATTAAGGAAAACTCTCAAAGAAACTTCAAGCATAACAAGATATGGACTATATTAATTAAGCACCTCTATGAATGTATTTTTAATAGGGATGTGGTGGCACTGGGAGTTAAACCTCAGAAGCCTCTGTGCTGCGAGGTCAGAAGACTGGCAGCCGTAAGATTGAATCCACATGACAGGCTGACCCCGTCGCTTGTCCCAGTTCCCTCCAACCTAGTGGTTCGAAAGCATGGAAAAATGCGAGTAGATAAATAGGTACCACCATGGTGGGAAGATAACAGCATTCCGTGTCTAGTCGCGCTAGCTCTATTGGTTGGAAACGGAGATGAGCACTGTCCTCTAGAGCTGGACATGACTGGACAACTTGTCAAGGGGAACCTTTACCTGTATTTAGCGTTTTTCATGAACAATTTTCTAGACTATGTCAAGGGGAACCTTTACCTTTATGAATGTATTTAGCATTTTTCATGAACAATTTTCTAGACTTCCCAGTGGATATGTATTAATATAGAGACTGTATAGGGACTATATTATCAATATAGGAAATGTATATATTAAAAACATATATTAGCTTTGATAAATTTTCCTGGCTTCCCTGTGGCTGTATATATCTCAGTGTGGTTCAGATATTATAAATTTTCATACTGTATACATGACTGTTATTTTTATAACATGCATGGGTAGATTATAAGAATATATAAGTAAATTCTTGTAGGATATTGTGCTTAGTAAGTCAGCATGGGTTTTGTTTATATTATTTTATTTTATTAGGTCTTCCTAGAATCTGCCTGCATTTGGAAAAACTGTTTTGTGCTGGAAAATCTTGAGGATTTATTTCCAGTGTGCCAACAAGGCTAGAGTATACTCACAAAGGTCCAAGAAAATGAATAGTTCTAAATCAAATGCTCTCAAATCATATTGTGTGGGTCATTGGATTTCTTTCTGTCCATGTTATAGAACAATCCAAAATGCAATATAGTTAGTACTGCATTAATTTTTTTAATGATAGAGATGAAGGTGGTATTGGCCAGGGTCATGTTAAGACTTTTAGCTTGAGGCCTGTAATGGTGTCCTGGTACACCTGCATATTTTCCCCCCTCAGATTCTTTTATGGGGACATGAAAAATTGCCTTCTATTGAGTGAAAGGTAAAGGTTCCCCTCTACCTTGACTCTAGGCAGCAGTGCTCATATCCGTTTCTAACCCATAGAGCTAGCGCTTGTCCGCAGACAATCCTTCGTGGTCACGTGGCCAGCGTGACTGGACATGGAACGCCGTTTACCTTCCCACCGAGGTGGTACCTATTTATCTAGCCCCATTTTTGCATTTTGTATGCTTTCGAACCGCTAGGTTGGCGGGAGCTGGGACAAGCGATGGACTCATTCCGTTGCGTGGATCTGATCCCAAGTTAGATTACTACTAATACTGACTTCAGAAGGCTCTCCTTAGTTTCAAATAGTTTTTCCTACCGATCCTGGCAATGCCTGGGTCCCTCAGCATTCAAATACTGAGCTATGTCTTCTCTCTACTGGCATCAATTAAAGGAGCTCTTCTTTGCACTTTCAACTAATACCCATGATTTTGTAATATCAGAACTGGTTTTGGTGATGGTTATGAAGAAAAGTTATTTGTTTGGTTTGTTGTTGATTTTCAGAACAAAGATTTCATCTGAGGCTGCTAGCAGTTTCAAAATGATCTGTGCAGATGTTTAAGAAATACTGTGCTAATACCTGTTCATGAGTACCTGTTAACACATCTGCTTAGTGCATATGACTTGTTGCTTTAATGAATGAAGCACAGTAACTCTAATGCCATTTTGGCCCAAAAAGAGGAATTGGTTCATTTGTTGGAAAGAGGTTTTGCTCACGATTTTACTCCTGCTTGTTATGTCAATTCATTTGTGAATCGGTAAAATGTCTGAAGTGCTATATAGCTGGAAACTTCGATTTTCACACATAGAGGAGGAGCTTGATGCCACAATCCTGTTTTACCCATGTGTTGATGTTAAGATTGTTAGAGTTAGATGTTTATACTTACAGTTAAAAATATGTCACATATAAATTTTTATACTTCTTTCCTTCAGGAAACTCTTTCTACGCAGCTTGTCTGCCATGTAACTTATGTAGGGCACTAGTCAAGCTGGGCCTATTGGGCTTCCCTGTTGCCCCACTTGAACTGAATGGAGAATGTGACCTCAAACACTCCTGTCCTCCAGCTCTGTGCTGCAGAACAAGATCAACAGTAGTATGCTAGCTTTCCTGGTGCCATTTGTTCATTTTTACTAACACTGTGTGAAATGCTAGGTGAGCTTTTGAAGAAGCTCTAGTTGAAAATTCATTGATATGATCTATCACAGTAAACATACAGTATTTCTTTCAATCCCTTGGAAAAGTGCAATAATAATCATTTCACTCCTGGAGCAGGACAAGGCCTTATCATACTGAGTTAATTAACATTTTTGACAAAGATGTTTTCATTCTGCTGAAAGATCTTTGATCAAATAGGCCAAAGGCCACTGTTGTGTAGTAGTAACTAACTGGTGTTAGGATTTCACAGTGATTGCTTACTTTTGCTCACGATTTTAAGTACTTTAAGTACTTTATTTTGCTATTAAAAGACAGTAAAATGATTTTCTGTACTGGTCTCTTGGCTAAGCAGGATGATTTCCCTAGAGAATCAGTAAGACAAGTGACACACAGTATTTGCATCCAGCCTGAAGAAAACTGATGCCTCTGCTTTTAAATTGCAGTACTTCATTTATTTGAAGGAATTAGAGCAGTTCCTGCGAAGGGTTTATAGTAATGGAGTTAACCTATTTAATTTAGAAGGTTTTTTTGGCATATTTTGTTGATAGCAGGTTTAAGCAATGTTTACAGTTTTCAGAAGTCACTAATCGCCACTGATGTGTACATAACTTTAAATTATTATTCAGTTAGTGGTGTTGTCACTGGAAATAGAAATTACATGAATGTGAACATACCAATTTATTGTGCAAATGCATGAGCAGTTTAACCCACAGATGGATTTGGCATGGTTAAAATTGAATTAAAAAGCAGCAACTACATGTAAAACTAACTGTAGAGAAGCCTGGTCTTTTTTCCTGTTTTACTCCAGTTCAGCTGGCATTTTGATGTGTGTATTAATCCTGATGCAAAGGGTGGTTTTGTAGTGTAGGGTGCACTATTAAAGCAGTTCCCTCAACTGAGTACCTGTTGTCTCCCTTCTCCAAACAATTTTTCTTTTTATTATGCTTGTAAGTGTTAGTGCTATGTTAAATAAGTGCTATGTAATTTCAGAAGGAAAAGGAGAATGAAGGGAAGGGGTGTTTTCTCTGGAAATTGTCAATCTTAACATGGATTGCTCTTTTCCTCACTGTATTTCTTCTTACATCTCTCTCAAATCAGAGGAGAGATTCTCCTTGTCTTTGTAACGTAGATTGTGATTTTTACTTTTAAATGCAAATAAGAGAAATGGAAGAGAGTAAATGCTGGTGAGAACAGAGAAGCAAGTGAGTAGAGCAGTGTGGACTTCTGCCACAGGATAATTGATTATATTGGTGTTGATGGCTATGGTGATTTCATCAGCAGTAACTAAGGCGAATCCACTTTGAAAAACTTCAAAACAGGAGGTTTTCTCTTCAATAGTTGCATTTTTTGGGGGAGGGGGGAATACTAGGAGATGGTTAACACTTCAGTAAGATACTGTGTTGCAATTTGTAACCATATCATATTCCACTGCAAGCATGTCTGATTTAACATGCTGTGTCAAGCTAAACCGGTTGCTGAGTGGAATTCCTCTTTAAGAAAAGTGCAGGTGTTGCAGGAAGTGATGTTAAAGAGACTGTGGGTGGAACCCTTCCCTTCAGGTCAGTAACTTGTTTTTGTCATGTGGTCTGTTTCTACCTTGCAAAGAATGAAGTGGAGTTCCTAACTGATGTATGTGATTACTTCTTCTGTTGCAAAGGATTTCATAGCAGATCTCTTATATACCTGAACTTGTAACTTTCTGGAGTACAGAAGCTTTCTGTATTATCTGATAAAATCCAGCTCACCACCACCACCCCTATTAGGCAAGAATGCATTGGACTCCTTTAGATTTTCTGTTTTTTATTTCTGAAATAAAATGCTGTTCTGTGGTTGTAGACAATGTTGTAAATTGATGGCATTATAATTTTCCTTTTGTTGCTAGGTCAAGCCAAAAATTTAGTGCCATACTCAGGGCCAAACAAAATGAGAGACTGCTTTTGCACAATCAATTTGGATCAAGAAGAAGTTTATCGCACTCAGGTAGTGGAGAAATCCTTAAGGTGAGCTCTTTATCACTATGGTGGACTTATACATTTCTCTTTAACAATTAAAAGTCTTTTTAAAAATATAAATATCAGCTGAAGTGATGTTTTGTTGCTGGTTTCCTAGTTTATTTTAGTTCAGCTTTTGAAATTGATGGTGTAACTTAAGAAACAATAATGTAAGCATTAGCAATGTAGTAGACAGTGGTTCACAATCTTGGGTAACCAGGTGTTCTTGAACTACTAGAAACCCTGGCAAGCACATCTGGTGCTGAAGTCTTCTGGGAGCTGCAGTCCAAGAGCACCTGGGTTACTCAAGGTTGGGAATCATTGTAGTAAAGTACTGATTTTTAAGAATGACTTTTAGGCTTGTGTACTGCCTCCTCTTTCCTCCTGGCATGACTGTGAGGAGGAAATCAGAAGCTTCTATTCTCTCTTCAATTCATCTCAGATGTAGTGTGTGATTCAAATACAAGACCATGGGATTTTTGAAATAAACCAATTATTGAAACTTCATTTTGCTCGTTCCAGCAAACTAGAGCTAACACTGATCAATTAGCTATGTTCAGGCAATGGAAAAAGCAGTGATAAATCTAAAACAAAAGACAAGGATTCTAAACTGTTCCCTGACCGTATGAAAGGAGAGAGCACAAGAGCCTGTGGTTGTCCTTTTCATTTTTTTTCTTTTTGTTTAGTGGCCTAAGTCCATTAGAGACTAAAAGGAATGTGATCCCCATGATATGAGCCCTGAAGGAGCTGCAGTTCATGAAAAGAGAGTTATCCTACAAAAGGTCTTTAAATGTATGGCAAGGGAACATAGGATTAAAATCTTATGTTATAAACTCATTTCCTATTCTTGCATAGGGCTTGTCATGCAACATTCAAGACACTGACCAGGACCACACCTGCTTATTTTAAACCATACTGCAGCATCAGGTGTGCCTAAATTAACCGCTGTATCCTAAAGTGCTCTGAACTTGTTCTTTTTTCCCTTCGGGTTCATTTATTAGGTTCAGGTTCATTTCACTACCTAGCAATGTATATTTTAAAATAATAAATATAAAATCATTGAGTTGGAAGGTGCCTACAAGGTGATCGAGTCCAATCTCCTGCTTAGTAAAGGAATCCAAATAAAAGTAGATCTGCCAGATGGTTGTCCAATTTTCTCCTGAATACCTCTAGCATTGGAGTGCTCACCACCTCCCCAGATAATTGGTTCAATTGTTGTACTGCTGTAACAATTAAGTTTTTCCTGATATTTAGTCTGGGATGATTGAGAACAGATCTCTGTATGAAAAATGCTATAATATCATCCATCAGTCTTCTTTTCTTAAGGCTAAACATGCCCAGTTATTTCACTTTTAATTATTAGGGTTTGGTTTCCAGTCCCCTGATCATCCTTGTTGCCCCCCTCTGAACTTGCTCCAGTTTGTTGACATACTTCTTAAAGTACAGTGTCCAGAACTGGATATAGTATTCTAGATGAGGCCTAACCAGTGCCAAATAAAGGGGAATTAGTACCTCACCGGATTTGGAGGTTACACTTGTGTTAATACATCCTAATATCACATTTGCCTTTTTTTTTGCAGCCACATTGCACTGTTGGCTCATATTCAGCTTGTGATCTACAATATTTCCAAGATCCTCACTCATAGTATTATAGTATCCTCCATCTTGTAACTGTGCATTTGTTTTTTTCCTCCAGGTGTAGAACTTTGCATTTATCCCTGGTAAATTTCATTCTGTTATTTTCACTCTAGTACTCAAACCTATCAAGTTCTTTATGAATTTTGTTCCTGCCTTCTGAGGTATTAGCTATTCCACCTAATTTTGTGTCATCCACAAATTTTGATAGGTATTCTCTGCGCCCACTCATCCAAATTATTAATAAAAATGTTTGAAAGCACTGAGTCCAGAACTCAGCCTTCTGGTACCCCACTTGTTACTTCCTCCCAGTTTCAGAAGAAGCCATTGAGAAGCACTCTCTGAGTACAATTCTGTAACCACCTGTGTATCCATCAGACTGTTGGTTTCTCTCCAGCCCACCTAGTTAGTTTGCTAATCAGAATATCATGGGGTGCTTCGTCAAAGGCTTTGCTGAAGTCAAGTTATATGATGTCTATAGCATTCCTGCTGTCTACCAGGGAGGTTACTTGATCAAAAAATGAGATAAGATTAATCTGGCAGCATTTGTGTTTGACAAATCCATGTTGGCTTCTAGTTATTACTGCATTGTTTTCAGTGTGCTTGCAGAATGACTACTTTATAATCTGCTTCAGAATTTTCCCTGAGATTGATATCAGGCTGACTGGTCTGTACTCCCCCAGTTGCTGCTTTTTGCCCTTTTTGAAAATAGGGACAATGTTAGCTCTCCTCCAATCATCTGGTGCTTTGTCCATCCTCCATGATTTCAAGAAAATAACAGAGAGTGGTTCTGAGATCTCTTCAGGCAGTTCCTACATTATCCTAGGATGCAGTATATACTGTATATAACTAAACAGGAATATTCCATGTGGTAAAATTAAATTGTGGCAAGTAAGAGTGAAAACAATAGAACAACAAGCTTTTTGGGGGTTTTTAAACCTAGGATTTCAACCTCCACTAATTCCTTAAAATACTATTTACTATTTAGTGCTGTAGGTGTTCATCATATTAGACTTAACCAGTTATGTCCAGTTATATTTGCTGAACATGCAAGTGTAGATCATGGATTTTCTAAATTCCAGTATGAAGTCCTCATCTAGATTGGTAAGGTGCCAGCTAACAGCCTTCCACAACCTCTCAGCCATCCCTGAGCATGTTGGAGTCATGGAAGTGGTAGCACAACACATCTGGAGGGCAGCAGCTTGTGGGAGGATGAGCTAGTGAATAAGAGATGGACAGTGTAAGACCTTAAAAAAGGATATTCATTGTTCATAGTTTTCCGTAGTAGAGTCTAATATGTAATTAGGATGGAGAGAGCTGCATATTTATAAGAACATTCTCTTTAGACAGTTTATTTTATACATTAGTCTTCTCATCTGAGTTGCACATATGATAATGATACATTTTATTATAATGTCAGTTATTTTACTGAGAAGCTCTGACTTTTTCCTCCCCCAGCCCATTTTTTGGAGAAGAGTTCTACTTTGAAGTACCAAGGATATTCCAGTGTTTATCATTCTACGTTTATGACAAAAATGTTCTACAGAGGGATCTGCGTATAGGTGAGAATGCACATAATTAACTCTTCAGTGTAAATGTGTACATACAGGTGTAGTGAAATGTAAAGATTAAACCATAGGTAGACATTTCACTACTTTAAACATATATAAATCATACTTCTGTTGCATATGGTCTTCCATGCAGAGATAACTGACTAGAACCACCATCATCCCGTTCTTGACAGTCATCAGTCTTCCTGCATCAGATATTCCCAGGTGAACTTCTGATGCTTTGATATTCTCCAGTTTAAAGCAGTAATAGTAATTCCACCTCCCATATATCAGCTGTTACTGCATTGCATTTAAAGGAAATAACTTAGGGCATCAGTATATTGATTCTCTTGAAATCTTCTCTAGAGCTGTGTGAAAGAAGCAAATAGTATTTGTCTTTAAATTGATCTCATATTAAGTCCAACACCCAAGTAATATTTGCACTTACTGTTAGAATCAAAGCAATGATTATATCCACATCTAATTTGTTTCCCACCCCCACCTCATTAGGTAAAGTAGCTATAAAAAAAGAAGACTTGAGCTTATATTCTGGCAGAGAAACATGGTTTACGCTTCAGCCTGTTGATTCAAATTCAGAGGTTCAGGTAAGATCAACTAAATTTAAAGATGAATGTTATGTTCTGTAAGTTGAGTCTCCTTCCTCCATTCCCCATAGTAAGCTTATGTGAAATTCTTAAACTTAGTGAAATGAATCTTACTGACTTCCCTACAGATCCTGAAACACAGAATAGCTTATAAATTGGTAACGTTAGTGTCCTGTTTCTTTATCCAAGAACAATAGATGGTCCTGTTTCTTTGCATCTCAGCCCTTTATTCCAAGAAACAACAAGGAGCATAATAACCATAATCATAATCATCTTAGAACTGCAGAGCTGAAAGCAACCCTATGGATCATTGAGTCCAGCTCCTTTCAAGGAAGTACAGTGGGGAATCAAAATCCCAGTGTCTGGCTCTGCAGCCGGAAACCTTAAACCACTGAGCTATCCAGAAATAGTATGTATTACAGTTGCTTTAAGACCACTTCCAAGAGATCTCCAGCAAAAGTAAACTACTCACATGTCTAGAAGTTGAAAGGAAGCTCTGGAAACCAGAACATTTCTGAGGCCTGTTGTTATGATATTATAACAAAGTAATGCTTGAAATCCTGTTTGTGAAACTTAGCCTTATATGGAATAAGTTATACAAAGAGGTTTCAACCAATATATAGAGTGGTGCCTCGCTTGACGACAATAATCCGTTCCGTTCAAATCGCTGTTAAGTGAAATTGACGTCAAGAAAAAAACAAAAAAAAAATTGAAATGCTTTGAAAACCAGTTCAATGAGTTCCAGTGGGGGAAAATACCTGTTTGTGCAGCAAAAATCCTCCATACGGTGGCCATTTTGCAATGCCTGTATAGCAAAGAATCGGTCCTGAAAACAGCGGCGAGCTATTTTGCGACCCGCCGATCAGCTGTTTCTAATCATCGTCTTGCAAAGCAATTGTTCCCAAAGCAGGAACTGACTGCCAACAAACAAACAAAAAACCCATTGAATCATTGTTTTGCTATCGCTATAGCAATTGCAAAAAAGGCATCGTTAAGTGATTTCAGCGTCAAGCGGGGTACCACTGTATTAGCAAATAATTATTTGCTAACCATCTTGCCTTAACTGACTAAAGGGAGGATATTGTAGGAAGTGATGGGTATTTACTAATTTGCATATTGTTTATATAAAAATCCTGCTTCATATATAAGCTAATTATGGGAAATTGTGTAACCTCTCCTCACATTCTGCTTTGCTTTGCTTTTTCTAAATAAAGACCATTTTTCTCCAAGAATAAAACTAGAATGCATACGCTAAGACTCGAGGCAAAATACTGCCAAAGCATGCTCCTTGATAGAATATATTGTACCTAGAGTATTGAGGCTATAAGCAATTACTGAATATGTACTGCTAAGAGTATGTGTGATGCCACATCTCTTTATGTAGTTGGTGTTGTTTCTCTTCCAGGATTTTTGATATATCTGAGTGGTACAATTCTAACGACATATTTTAGAAATATCCTATAAAGCACTTGCAATAAAAAAACAAGCAACAGCCTGATTAAGCAACATTTTTATAGTCCCTAAAATAGTGCTGGTATTTGTGAATCATGCAGTAAGTGCTATAATAAGAATGACAAACATGTAGTCTTTTGTTGCAACTTCACATAAATATTTTCGGCTTGGTTACGAGCAAAGCAAACATTGTTTAATTTATTTTGCATAGCATAGAATTGAAATAAAGATATAGCTTATCATTTCTTGAGCTTTTTGGCATTTTCTTCAGCCTATTTGATTGTTACAATATTTACAAAATTATGTAAGTAATAATTAGATTAATAGAAGAGTCTGATTCATGGGCAGGTACTTGGACAATAAGGGTAATGATTACAGTATAGATCTGGGAGATGTCCTGAAAATAAATTGACCAATAACCTTTTCATTATGCCCACCAATATAACACAGTTCACTTAAATCTTGGTAAATTGCTATAAGAAGTTAGCATATTTGCACAACTTGGTGAACCACAACAAATATTCACCTCTAACAATTTGCTGTTGAGATTTATATGACTTGCTTTATGCTGATGCAAACATGCAACAGGGGTTTGGCCAATGCCTCTTGTTTTCTCCAGACATACTTCCAAACAGCTTTTCCTTGCAGGTTTTTTTTTAAACTGGAGGCTTGCTTGTAAAAGCTGAGATGCTTAAAATGTCAAATCCTAACCTTATGCTGTTAGTCTACAGAATGAAGTTTTTTAGCAGCTTTATTCACTTTTCATACAACACAATGGTGTATAAAGTAATATGTAGTGAATCAAAGTAGAATTCTTTATAGGGCTTTACGAATACAGCCCAGATTGGAAAAAACAGACAAGGTCCAGCCATTTAGGCTCTTACAAACTGTTTGTTTGAGGAATTGTGATCTTAACATTCACTCTGTGTTCTTTCTTAATGGCAAAAGCTATCAGTTTTTCCCCAAATGTATGCATTTGTACAAATATGCATATCTTTCAAAGGTAAGTATTGTTTTGTTTCCATTTACTCCATCAACTTTGTCATAAGTCACCAGAAATTAGAGATCTTAGGCAACATGGACTTCATCCCATTGTCAGTTTTGGTAGGTTTGAGACGAATATTTTTGGAGGCAAATACAAAGCCATGAAATCCCTAATCAAACATCCTCTTGTATTTTGGTTTTAGAAGATGGCGCTTTTCATAAGCCTTTAGAGTTGGCATCGTTTCAAACTACTTTCATTTGGTTTGCTTAGCAGGCTAAATACCTAAAGCCTCTTTGAAAGTGTCCATATCTCCAGCCAGTTGTATTAATACAAGTGAAGTATAGATGCTCAGTGTTTGTGCCCAGACATTTTCTGTCAATGTCTTGTTCATTGCTTCCTAAGGAACAAGCCTGTCTTGCTTCAGATTTTTACATGCTAAAGTATGGTGCTGCTACTAGTTCATTTCCATGATTGACTCTGCATACAATATCATTTTGCAAAGGTTAGAATTACAAAGGTGTTGCATAGTAGGCTAGCCTTTCTTGCCTGAAGCTATTCTGAGGTTTTTAAGATTATTATCTCTACAGAATGTGTTGATGTAAAAGCATGAGGTTGCTCTTGAAGAGTCACAGGAATTACTCTTGTAAAAATAGTGTTCACATGCTCATCTTGTTTAAGAAAAACTTGCTAGCATATGGAGGCAATCATAATTATAAAATCCTGATAATGTAAAAATGAATTGGAAAATATAGCAGAAAGTGTGGTAAACAAACATTAATCTTATCAATTTAGTCTGAGGTATGAATAACATCTAAGTACCAGCCTTTTGATATAAGATAGCAAAATAATGCATGAATAGCTATTGTCTTACCATTGTAAGTGTCACCAATGTGATACACATAAAACTGGCTAGTCGATATTAGACTTAATTCTAGTTATTTCCTGTCCAATTTTTATGAAGCAGTTGCTATATTGGGTTAATTCTGTCATTGTTAGGCTAGGGCAAAAGTGTGACCTGATGGGTTACTATGCTTACTTGGTTGGTGAAATAAAATGACTAGAAACTACGTAGCTGGTTGAAAGGTACATTATAGCTATAACTGTGGCAAGGCAGTCATTTTTTTACTTCCTTTGTAGTAAATATTTCACTAGCAGACTTCTATATGAAGGGAGGGGAAGGGGAATATAGTTGTGATAGCATCAGCTTTTCTGCTTAGTTTTTACCCTGAGCAGTGTAATAATTGAGTTCAATTTAAATAAATTAAATAAATAAAATTTGTTTATTAGAACCTTTACATTTCTGCTCCCATTGAATGAACAGTATTCAACAGTTTGAAGCATACTAACTGTTTTAGTAAGTGAAAGCTTGCATCACTGATCTAATATGCAGAGTTCCTTCTGAGAATGCTGTATTTCTGCATATTGAAAATGACACTGTTTCCTTGCTTGATCAGATTCAGAGCCATCTGATCAAACTGTTGGCATTAAATATTAGCCACATGGTCAGGGAAGGTTACAAGCAGCATCTGATCATGATAGCAATCAGCAATTATGCATTGGTCTCTCTCTTTCCTTTATACTTTCCAGTAGTGGTTTCACTTTCATATTTGTAGTGGTAACAGCTTAGTTGTATTCTTGTTCTTTGAATTCTATATAATTTATAGGTTAATCACCAGTCCTTATATATCCTTGGAGTGTCGTTAAGTTTTGACTTCCATTTCAAATACTCTGCCCTGCTTTTAGCTTCATAGGTTTCACACAAGGCTGGAGACCCAGATGTGTTGTCAGTTCCCTATTTACTAGGGCTCCTGAATAGACACGGGTATGAACCACTGGTTCAGTGGTTTGGCATGGTTCATTTACCAGCTGAACAGCTGATCTGGAGTTTGGTGCCCCACCCCCTTCAGCAGCTGCTTACTTGAAGGCAGTGCCTGGAAGAGGTAGGATGAGGCACTGCTGCTGAGTGGTTGCCCCCCAGAAGGGACAGGGTGCCAAACTTCAGATTAGATGTTTGGCCAGTAAATAAATTGTACCAAATTGGCAGTTCATGCTCATCTCTACTCTTTATGAAGTCCAAAATATTTGGCGCACCAAAGGTGCTCCACTCTTGCTTTATGCCATACTTAGTCTTAAGGTATACTACACAGTTACAGTACTTCGATACCATTTTAACGGCAATGGTTCTAGAGGAGAGAATTCTTAAGTATATCACCAAACTATAAATCACTGGACAATGTGATCATGGGGGACAATCTGTAGCTTGCATATTTAAATTGTAAACTGCCCAAAGAGTGCTTTAAGTGTTAATGGGGCAGAATATAAGCAGCACACTTTTTTTTGATGCAGCTGTTGCAATTAGAGTTGTATCAACATACTATTAACAGTTATGCTATGGCTATCATGTTGTTGTTTAGTCATTAAGTCGTGTCTGACTCTTCATGATCCCATGGACCAGAGCACGTCAGGCCCTTCTGTCTTCCACTGCCTCCCAGAGTTTGGTCAAATTCATGTTGGTAGCTTTGAAGACACTGTCCAACCATCTTGTCCTCCGACGTCCCCTTCTCCTCTTGCCTTGACAGTTTCCCAACATCAGAGACTTTTCCATGGAGTCTTCTCTTCTCATGAGAGACTATCATGTAGATACAGTCTTTTAAAAAAATTGAAAGTAAATGTCGAAGACTTCTTGAAAATACAAATTATTGAGTCACTCCTGTTCACATGCCTCTTGACACCCTTAGTATCACTTTGTGGGTTTTGTCATTGAGTGGAAGGACTGTGTTAGCTGCAGTAGCAGACCTGAATTGGAAAGAGTAAGTGCATTTATTGTATACGTAGTTGAAGCTTTTTGACCAATGGTGTCAAATTCTGTTCTGCATTTAGTAGGAGTATCCAGATGGTGGCAACTTTATGGAATAGTTTTTGCTAAAAATTCATTAACCTGACAATGACCAGGAAACATTCTAGAAACATTTAGAACATTATTTGTTATTGTATTCCGTGGGATGATTTGACAAAAGTTCTTTCAACTGAAACTTTTTTTGTTGACAGGGGAAAGTTCACCTGGAATTAAAGCTGAATGAACTGATTACAGATAATGGATCAGTGTGCCAGCAGCTAGTAGTACAGTAAGAACATTTATGAATCCTTATTCTATATTTGGTTGCTAGTGAAAATTAAAGCATATTATTTAAACTGTTGTGACTGAAACTAGAGACATTATCTGCAAATAATAATAATTGTCAAGACAATTCTGACTCTTTTCAGGATGTTCTGGGTAGAGAGTACTAAGAAGTGGTTTACTATTCCCTTCTTCTTGGGTCATCCTGGTACTGTGCAGCTTGCCCATGACTATACAGGCTGTCTCTTCACCCAGGAGGCATAGTGGGGAATTAAACCCCAACCTCTCTTCAGCCTTGTGAATTTTTTCTAAGAATATTTCCCCAGGTTATTTTTCTGTAAGAAGTCCTTCAATTTTTTTGTTTAGTCATGTCTCCCTTAGGAAACCTTTTGATTTAGTTTTTCCCAAATTGTTTCCTAGGGGGAAATTATGGTCTTTGATTTTGATTTTTTATTAGTTTGATTAGTTTTTTGAGAACTCTGAAAAAGTCAGTCAACAAGGGGTTTCCACACATTCAATTGAGAGCTTTCCTGTGCTTTTCCTTAGGAAATTTGTAGATGTACAGAAGGGAAGGAATGTAGCAAAGAGAGGGCACCTCGGAGCCCAATCCTTGAAGTTTGAATTTTTGAGCATGCTGGAGATCGCTATTTCTTGCCAATGAATGTGGGATTTTGTACTTACTGGGATTCTTATTTATTTAATTTGAGGGGAATGCACTCTGTAAGGATATTCAATATTAAGACCTTTAAAAATTGACATCTAAAACCACCTGTAATTTGTGCAGCTTGTCTTCCTTAGTTAATTTGCTGTAGCCTCCCAAGGCAGAGTTAAGCTCAGCCTGAACTTCAGAGCAGGCTTGTGATACAGGATGAAGATACGTTTCTGAACTGTAGGACTTCAGTTACAAAGTTACACAATTTGAATTTGTCCTCATGTCTACTCTTGTGTTAAATCGTAGATCACAAGTCATTGTGGAATCTCAAATATATTTCAAATCATTACTTGACTTGTGCAGCTCATTAGAATGTCATTCAAGTGCATGCCATTTAGTCTTGTTTGATTTACCAGCCGCCTAGAGTGGTCCGGTGGGCCAGATAGGCGGGGTATAAATTAAATAAATAAATAACGGAGCTAACAGTATAGCTTTACATTTCCCATCTTTCCAAACAATTAACTTCAAATCAATAAGGATGTATTTGTCCCTCATCTTAAATATTTCAAGTCTCCAGGAGCCACACACATCTACTGTGTTTCTGTCTTCTTGCAGTTTGGTGAATGGACCTTTTTAAAAAACTCATACTAATATTTTTATCATAGTTGTACACAGCCTTCAGGAGCTTCCCCCCCCTTTGACATTTTTAGTCCAGTCGTGTCTGACTCTAGGGGGTGGTGCTCATCCCGTTTTCAAGCCGTAGAGCCAGTGCTTGTCCGAAGACAGTTTCCGTTGCCACATGGCCAGCGTGACCAAGGCAGGAAGTTATACTGTCTTGACTAAAAGTAGGTTAGATGTTATGTTCACCATATCAGAAGTAGCCCATAAAAGTCTGTGGTTCCTGGAGAGCAAATGCATTACAGGAAAAATCACAAAGAAATGGAGCACTTTGCAGTTCATTAGTTGTCTGCTTATCCCTTTTAGGGTTTAGCTGTACCTGTTCCTTTATGTTTTCTAAAGCCCTGAAAATAATTTAGCCAGAGAGAGAAGGACTAGCTGAAGAAAGGAAGCCACCAGCTCCTGGTTCCCAGTGTTTGCTTACATTCACCTCTAGAGATTAATACTTACAGTCCAGCTTATATGTAGCTACTTCAGATGTGATGAAGGCAGCATGTAAGAAGTTCAAGTAACAGGATGGAGATTCAGTGTCCACATTTTTCAGTTAATTTGCCAAAAAATTATTTATCCAACTGTGCATTATATGGATCTAGTGTCATATCTGAATGAATGACTAAATACAAATTTATGCTTTATAAAAATAATTTGCTGGGCTCTTTTCTTCAGCATATTATGATTAGATTTCTGGCTCGGGCCAGGCTATCTCTATTATCCATTATGAGCCTTTTCAGCTTTTGAGATCTTCTTGGGAGGCCTTTCTCTCAGCTCCACCAGCTTCCTAGGCTTGTTTGGTGGGGACAGAGAGTCTTCACCTGGAAGTGGCTGCTTCCAGGCTTTACAGTGTACTGCCCCATGAAACTAGGTTGCTCCCTTTTGTCCTTCTGTCATCATGTGAAGATCTTCCTTATCAGGCAGGCTTTTAAGCAGTAAGTGGGGATTTTAGGAATGCTGTCTTCATTGAATTTAGAGATTTTAAAGTGTTTTTAATAAATGTTTTTTTAAAATGTTTTGGCAGTTTTAATATAGATAGAGGTTTGATTGTTTCAGTACAGTTCTTTATTGTGTTTAACTGTGATTATTGTGTAGTTGTCATTGTGAGCAACCCTTGATCCCCTATGGGGAGATAGGCAGCATATAAACAAACAAACGACTTGAATCTGAAAGTATTTCTGATGGAACTGAATGACATAGGGGGTAAGCATATAGCCTGGATACCGCTGAACAAGATTTTATTGCCTGTTTGCATTCCTGCTAAATATGTCTGCCAGATTCTAGACATGTGGAAAAGACTATTCTGTATCTTTTTTGGTAATATCTGAATGTGTGTAGCAACCAAACCAGTGGGTGATTTTTATAGACCTAACTGTATCATAGGTGTTGCAAGGTTCAGGAAGTATGTAGGTTTGGTAGTATGTGCGACTGATGGTAAAACCTGATAATATGTCACAGTATGTATTAGTGGACTTCCACTGGCTGAGACACAAATTATATAAGACAGAGGAAGAAAATAAACATGCTGTCCTACTACCTAGCCCAACGATTTTATTTATGTTTGCCTTTTCTTTTTTCATGGTCTACAAGACCAGTGAATGAAATATAATTTGGAGGTATTGTGCAGGAGCGATGACCAACCTGGTTTTTTTTTGAAGGCTACTGGAATATGAAGTTGGTCTGACAGTTTCCATTATCTTCTAAAGCTGGGCTTCTAGAGAAACTAGTAGGTATTATCATCTGAGACCGATTAGATGTATTTTCTCAGGAGTACCACTGAATGGTACTTAAATTCTTTACCTTTTTAAAATTATTATTATGATGAAGTGAAAGAAGCAAGCATGCACGTCTGACAGAGTGATATACCTGGTGAACATTAATGGATATCAGCTAATAGTAGATGAAATTTTATTGAATAAATGATTTCACTAGCAGGGGGAAATTTTTTGTAATGAGAGACTTTCCCATTCTCTCCTGCAGCTTTTCTGACTTACGATTATCATTTTCATCCCATGGCAGCCACAGTATAGAAGAAGGAAGTATTTCATTTCTGAAAATTTCTGCTGGTAACATCTGACAGCAACAATTTTCAGGAATTAAAGACTTTGTCTTCCTATCCCAGAACACCCACACATTGAGTGAGATTATATGCAAGTCAAAAGCTGTGGGAAAGAACGGAGAAGTATTTCGTTACTGAAAATCTTCCCTTGCTGCTGATGGTTTCACCCTTCTGCAGGTGGAACTATGCAGACAGGATTTCAGCCACTGGTAGCTTGCTGAATGGCATACAAGAGGATGGGAGAATGTTGGCTTGCAGGTTGATAGACATTCAATGTGCAGTTGCTTGATTTAATTATCAGTGACTATGTGACAGTTGTGATTGCTTTTACTACTTCATATACTTGTTCCCTCTGTGTTGTCATGTATTGTGTACAGAGGCCTTTCACAATACAGAAATCACCAAAATAAAAGTGGAGCAAAGTTGTATTGTTTGATTACTTCTCAAGACTACTTCTCTAGGTTTTTGGGGAGGTTATGTTCAAATTAAGCTTTAATACTAAAATTTCAAGCTTATATTGTAAAGAAAAAAGACATAACTATAAAGCACAGCTGTTACCACTTATTTGCATGTGAGCTAAAGCTATGTAGTTTGCAACCTTCCCAGTCTGAATAATAATAATGCCAGAATCTTCTTGCTCAGGATACTAAATCACACTAGAGTAGACTTATTACTGCAACTTAACAATTTAGGATACTAAGTCACACTAGAGTAGGCTTATTACAACAACTTAACAACTTTAGAACAGCAGAGCTAGAAGGGACCCTCTCGATCATCAAGTCCAGCCTCTCTCAAGGAGGCACAGTGGGGAATTGAACTCCCAACCTCTTTCTTCACAGCCAAAGAGCTAAACTACTGAGCTATCCAGCAGTTCTTGAATAAGTGGGAATTTGGTGAGTCAATTCCTCTGTAATTCCACTGATCCAAATGGGCCTGCTTTAACTAAGTTTAATGTACGTAGTAAGTTGCAGTCAGAGAGAGCCCATTTGAACCTATGGAGGAGTTGACTTAACTACTGTAAATCCCCATGGATTGATTGGGCCTGCTTTATTGTGCTAAGCAACAGAATTGTGCCCAAAATTTCTCAAATGGAAATTTCTTTGAACCAATATTTTACTCATGACAACCCTAATCAGATAGTTTAATTAGACTTGACATTTAAGTTTTATTCATCCGCTTAATAATTGGGTTACTGAGGCAGGTCAGATGTTTGCTACTGTCATCTTACCAATTGTCTTCATTTTACCAACTAATGCTGTGATTCTGTCTCTTACATAAATATATAGTATGTCTATCCATTATGTACCAAGTGTCCCATTTTGAGCTGTGTGTTGATTCAGTTTTGTCATTTAAGGTCCAAGTGCCCTCAGTGACACAGATTACCTTTTATAAGCTTTGACTGACACACTAGCAGTGATCTTATCTGAATAGAAATAGTCTGGCTTTGACTTTTCCTTATTGCTAACCTCCTCCCTGGGTTATTAAAATGTGTTTTATGTTGGTATATATCTGAAGACAATCCAGAAACTTTGATACAGTGCAGGCTAGAGCACTCTCTCTCTCTCTCTCTCTGTGTGTGTGTGTGTCCCCGTCCCCGTCTGTGTGTGTGTGTGTGTGCGTGCGCGCGTGTGCGTTTGGTGTATTTACTTGAAGGCTGCATCAACTGTATTTCCTGCTGCATCAATTGTACTTGCTATGTGTTTCTGAATCCGGTTCAAGGTGTTCAGCTTTTAATACCATAAACAGCAGAAACCCAGTCTATATAAAGGAGTGTCTTCCATAAATTGTATACAATTAAGATACTTTTCAAAGGGTTTTTTCTGTACACTGCTGCTGCCCACAATGTACAGGGTAGCTACTAGGAAAAGAACTTTCTCAGTATTGTCCTTCATCAATGGAACGCTCTGCTTAAGGAGATCTGCCTAGTATTATCAAGTAAATTTAGAGGCAATGCTAAGGTGTTTTTTCTTTTGAAAGGCATGCAATCCTTAACTTCTGGCTTTTACTATTTTTATTTCCAGCTCTCAACATTTTTGCTGGCTCAATGTTTTTAACGTACTATTGCTGACTCAGTTGACATTTGTTTTGATTATGATTTTGTGAATTATTTTGTGACTTTGTTTGTAAATTGCTGTGAGAGCCTTTGCCAGTTAAGTAGGATATACATTTAATAAATCAAAATGGTAGGGTACGGTTTTTGTTGCAGGGAAGAATCCTAAATCTTCCCATCATAAAACATGATAGCTACAGGCACGTTTCCTCTCTGAGAATAAAGGAAATGTAATGTAGAAGATAAGTGGTTTGTGCACACTCAAAGATTTGTCCTTTTTTGGTACCCTATCTTATATATCCATTTGAAGTAACTTGCTATGCCTTTTAGTTAATACAGTCAATTTAACAGGAAAAAGGTGGATGTGGATATGAGCCAGTTCCCACTAGATAACTAGCAGGTGTAAAAGCTTTGATAAACTAGTGACAGATGACCATTCAGATGGAGAAAATAATTTAGCTTTTGTAAAGTGCTGTGCTATTCCACCTCTCCAGAAGGATTTTAGACATTCTGTTAAACATCCATAGATCACTTGCAGAAAGGAAGTAAATTAGCATAATTTAAGTCAAAGTATAAATTGGGGGGAAAACCTTACAGGTGTGCCACTTTTAGAAGAGAACTTACATCATGCCGTTAGTTGAGGTCATGTGTCCCTACCTTGTCGTGTGGATATGTATAAATATAAGGACATAGTATTTGCTTTCCTTTTTGAGCTGTGAAAGCTCACATTGAAATAAATACTTTAAAGTGCTACAATGTTTTGCTATTTTGGCCTTTTTTCTTTTGCCAACAAAAAATAACATAGCATGTATTGATTTATTCAACTTAGATTATTTAAAGCAAAAAAGAGTAACATTAATTTGCACTTTTCTTCTTTCATTTCTAGCTTGAAAGAATGTCATGGGCTGCCTCTTATCAATGGGCAAAACTGTGATCCTTTTGCTACAGTATCTGTTGTGGGCCCTTCAAGGTAATGGTTAAAAATGTATTGAAACAGTCTGGGTTTAATGCAGTAAACAGAAGATGAATTTTGTTGTTGTTTAGTCATTAAGTTGTGTCCAACTCTTCGTGACCCCGTGGACCAGAGCACGCCAGGACCTCCTGTTTTCCACTGCCTCCTGGAGTTTGGTAAATTCATGCTGGTTGCTTCAGTGATACTGCCCAGCCATCTCGTCCTCTGATGTCCCCTTGTCCTATTGCCTTCACACTTTCCCAACATCACGGTCTTTTCCAGGGAGTCTTCTCTTCTCATGAGATGGCCAAAGTATTGGAGCCTCAGCTTTAGGATCTGTCCCTCCAGTGAGCACTCAGGGTTGATTTCCTTCAAAATGGATAGGCTTGTTCTCCTTGCAGTCCAGAGGACTCTCAAGAGTCTCCTCCAGCACCACAATTCAAAAGCATCAATTCTTTGGCGGTCAGCCTTCTTTATGGTCCAGCTCTCACTTCCATACATCGCTACTGGAAAAATCATAGCTTTGACTATGTGGACTTTGTCAACAAGGTGATGTCTCTGCTTTTTAAGATGCTGTCTAGGTTTGTGATTGCTTTCCTCCCAAGAAGGAGGCGTCTTTTAATTTTGTGGTTGCTGTCCCCATCTGCAGTGATCCTGGAGCCCAAGAAAGTAAAATCTGTCACTGCCTCCATATCTTCGCCTTCTATTTGCCAGGAGGTGATGGGACCAGTGGCCATGATCTTCGTTTTTTTGATGTTGAGCTTCAGACAATTTTGGCACTCTCCTCTTTCACCCTCATTAAGAGGTTCTTTAATTTCTCCTCTCTTTCTGCCAGCAGAATGGTATCATCTCCATATCTGAGGTTGTTGATATTTCTTCCAGAAATCTTAATTGCGGGTTGGTACTGTGCATATAAGTTAAATAAGCAGGGAGACAACATACAGTCTTGTCGTACTTCTTTCCCAATTTTGAACTAAAGATGAATTTAGCATTATTGAAAAGTAAATGATCTAGTATTCCATTTATTAGTATATACTTCTCTTAGGAGATGAAATAAGATATTAACACAGTTTGGAAGGAATATGATATATTTCCATGACAAACACCAACTTAATCATGGCTCTACTTACTATGATACATTCAGTGTCAGATTTCTTACACTGTACATATTAATTTGTACATTAATATGATCTTTATTCTGAAGGGTTCAAGTGGTGTACAAGATTGTCTACTTTGTCCCTCCATTATCTTAATAGCTCAGTGAAGTCTCTAATCTGACTCTGATTCTTGCAGCATACTCTCTATAGATGTTCTTACATTTAAGTCCAAGTGATGGCTGAATGGTCAATGCTCCCACTTCACACTGCATGTATCAACTAGTTCTTTTCCTGTCATTCACAGATAATGTCTGCAACGAGGGTATTTTTGTCATACTATTGTGCCTTCAAATACTTCCAAATTATCCTGGACCTCTGATTTTTTTATAGCTCCAACTTGTTTAGAAGTCAACATACATGTCTGTATATGTGGAAAACAAACCACTCTGCCATATGCCAGAGGGAGAAGCACTCATACATTGGTGTATTGCATCAGAGGATTGGCAGTTTGTAAATTAGCAATTTATATGAGAAGCAAATGCAGATAACTGTATCTTGTGCTGCCAATTTTGAGCCACTTAGACTACAATATGCAACAGTTCTTTTATGCATGGTTACGAAAATACTATGATGGTATTGGATTTGTGGAATTCAAACAAGAAATTGTGTAACATGTGTGTGATTGTGCTTGCTAGCTGTTGTGTGCTCAGACATAATTGAATTGCATGCTCCTTTGTTCAGAAAGTGAAACAGTTGTATAAACTGCTTATGTGCTCTCCCTTGTATCTACAGTATTTTGCAGTAAGAGTTTGGTCACAGATACTAAAGTGCTCTAGATATAATACCTATTGTAAGAAGTCATTATATTGTATATATTTATTGGTATAAAATGTGGAAATTTAAAAACGCATGCATAGAAAGGTTTTGTTTTGTCTTACATGTCTTCCTAACTGTTCTGGATACTTAACACACACATTGACTTTAGTGGGGTTCCTCAAATGCAAGTGATCAGTGCTTGCTTAGTTTTACCTCCCTATTGGAAGCTAGGTTTTCCACAAAAATTGTTTAGCTACATAGATTGTTCATAGCAACACATTGTTTATGTAATCATATCCTCTGAGTGCTGGGTGGTAAAACTGTACTATATTGCTACAGGAATGACCAAAAGAAGACAAAAGTAAAGAAGAAAACAAGTAATCCACAATTTAATGAAACATTTTATTTTGAGGTAATTTATTTCCTGTTAAAATCACCTGTTGATGTGTTTGTTGACTTGTGGTGTTTTAAGTTCCTTTTTTTGTTAGCTGTCTGTGCTAATGATGGACTTTTTAAAACTTTTTATTTGTGCAGAATTTTAACAATATAAATTGAACTGACAAAGAAAAGAAAAAGATAAATAAACGAAAATAAGAACCATAAACATAGTAATGTTAGTATGCTCTGTGGGTCACCATTATAAATTTGCAATATGAATATCGTCGTAACAGTCAACACATACATCTGGAATTATGCATATAAATTAGTATAGACGTTCCCAATGTCCAAGGAAATGTCCTAATGAAACTGATATTTATATGATACATATTTAAATATAGCTAGTGGTAACAAATCCTTCAAGCACTATGTAGCAGATAGTGAGTGTTTTATCTTTCCAGGCTCGGAGTGTATTAGCTACCATAAGGGCTCATAAAGTCCAGTTTCATTGCCCATTTTTCAGATCCCATAGGACAAGGATATCATTTATGAGAACATGAATACAGTGGTGTCTCGCAAGACGATTTCCTCGCAGGACGATTAATCTGCAATACGATTGTCTTTTGGATGATTTTCGCAAGATGATTTTTCCCCATTGGAACACATTAAATAGATTTCAGTGCATTCCAATGGGGAACCGCATTTCGCAAGACGATGCTTTCTATGGATGATTTTCGCAAGACAGTTATTTTCCCATTGGAACGCATTAATTAGATTTCAGTGCATTCCAGTGGGGAACCGCATTTTGCAATACGATGTTTTCACAAGATGACTTTTTTCGCAGAACGAATTAACATTGTCTTGCAATGAACCACTGTACCTGCAAATACCAAGGAGTTCCCCAATGTTGCATTAATACAAGGGACAACATCAGACCAAAATGAATAAATTGCTAGATCAGCCCAGATTATATATATCAAGGATGCATTTCCAATATTACATCTCCAACAATTTGTCAGAGGTTGGCAGTCTCTAAACAACCATTGTGGAGTCCAGTATACTCTGAATAAATTTTTTAATCAATCTCAATTTCAAGCCTAAGGAACCATCCCATATAGATTCTAATAAAAGTTTCCATTGTTTTGTTACTTTCTAATTCTCTATTCCATATGTCTCTAAACTCTTGAATGTCTATCTTATAAAGATCCTTTAAACATTTATAAACCACAATTATGGGTTTAGGCTTCTGAACAGATCCAATAATTCCTTCCAGTTACTTAGGAAATTCTGAAGCACTTGGTGTAAATAGACTAAAGATAAACACCAGCAAATGCTAAGGTTGTAGATACTGCTATTCTGCACTGTCAGATAGATGACATTTAACGCGTAAAACAGAGAATGTTTGTCCAAGCTTATAAACTGGTTCAAAGTAAATATACCATATTCTGTATTTTCGAAGGCTTTCATGGCCGGGATCTAATGGTTGTGGTGGGTTTTTTGGGCTCTTTGGCCATGTTCTGAAGCTTGTTCTTCCTGATGTTTCACCAGTCTCTGTGGCCACAAGGACCAGGGATCATTGCACACAAAAGACCAGCTAACGACACCCATCAATCACAGTGACAGATAATCTCTTCCCCTTGTGACAACAATACATCCACAACAAAAACACGCTGATCACCATAATCACCCAATCTCCTGAAAAGGACAAAAGCTGTTCCCACAACTATAAATACTCAACTATCCAACAAACTGCAACAGAGCACAGACAGAGTTCCTGCTCCTGTCCTCTGAAGATGCTGGCCACAGAGACGGGCAAAACGTCAGGAAGAACAACCTTCAGAACATGGCCAAAGAGCCCGAAAAATGCACAACAGTCATACTATATTTTGTCTACTACTTCCCCCCCCCCCAAAAAAGGATTTCTTCTCTATCTACAGATCTGAATTCCCCCATAAAGTTATTTTGGCATGGACATATGGATCAAACTGTAGTTAAGCCAATATAACCAATTTCACTCTAGTTGCTAAAACTGAAGGAGGTATAGTTTCCTTCTTTTTACTGTGTTTTGAATCCAAAAACAAACTATCCATAAAGGGCTGCTAGGCAGGCCATCTCTAAAATCACCCAAGCTGGGATATTCACAGAACTAGAGACTTGCCAACCATTTACATGTGCTAAAATATATCTGGTAGATTAAAACCACCACCTGATATTGGCAGCTTCATTTTCTTAAGTGAGAAATGAGCTGGGCAGTTATTCCAAATACACTTCTGAAATATTCCATTGATCTTTAAAAACTACATTTGGGGGATATACTATGAAATATCACAAGGAACATATATCATTTATGGCAATATATCCATTTTTAGTGTATTAACCTTACTTCAATTACTAAGTTTAAGTGATGCCCATCTTTCTAGGTAATTGTAAATGTTTAGTCAACTTATTTACATTTAATTTAACCGTTTGAAAGATTTTTGGATCAAAATATCTAAATATGTTAATATATCTGGACACCAACAAGATCACCGTTTACTATATGTAAATGTTTGATAGTTACTGGCATTAGCTCAGGTTTTGACCAATTGTGTATCCTGAGATTCAGTCAAAATTATCTATTATTTTATTTGTTTGTTTGTTTGTTTGTTTATATCCCGCCCATCTGGTATATTCTACCACTCCTAGAAGATCAAAAGTGGGCGGATACTTTTGATCTTCTAATAAATAGTAAAAAAACCATCTGCAAATTCTCTTTGTTCATGAACAAAAAATAGAGATTTTTTTAAAAAAGCTGCATAAGGGTGTATGGTGCTTGTAGAGTTAGATAAAATTACATTTGTAAAGTATGTGCTGTCTAAAGACGTTAATGGAGAAAATGAGAGCAGGACAGTCAATTTCAGCGAGTAATAAAAGATATAAATGAGAGTAGGTTAAATTAAACATTTCATGGAAAATAAGAGATTTGAGTTGGTAGTTTTCAGAAAAGATAACACATACAGTGTGTGTATCTCTTTAACCAAAGCGGGAAAGCAATGAAGGCTTTAGATGATGCTGCATACCCTGTACTACATGAATAAATAGTCTGACCTTAGACATGCTAAGTTAAAAAAAATGGTACATGTCCATATGCATATTTCATATAGGATGAGCAGAGGTGAAAGATTCAAGTGAGGAGAGATTTGAGGTTTCAAAATACATCTGTGTTTTGCATCAGATGAGTTACTGAAAGCAGAGGATTTGATGAGAAAGGGAGACATGAAGACTCGCAAGGGGTAAGAACAGAAGCCCATGGTCCCCATAAAAGAAAGGGTGATGGATGAGGAGAAATTTCTCTTTGAAATCATTGTGTATGTGATTTGACAGCTAAACAAAGAATAATTAGAGATTAGTTAAAGAAACTTTAATCACAGTGAGATTCAGCAAGTTGATAATTAATTGAATCGAATGTTATGGAGCAAAAGCAGATACCATTGGACTGATAATTTTGCTGCTTCAGAAGGTTCAAAGTAATCAAAAGAAGCGACCCTCTAATATGACTGGGAATTGAGTGCAACACCAGTCTTCTAAAATATAAATAGCCAGTTTTGAAAATAGTCCCATACCTAACTACTCAGAAATAGGCACTGTTTTTTTTCCTTTTAGTTACTTATCATGTGTTTGCTTTCATAAAGCTTGGTTCAGCACTTGCTGAATATTAATTGGACGTTCATGCATGTATAACATATTTGGCATATATGTCAATAGTTTGCACAGAGTAGCTTTGTGGCTTCACTTTGTCAGGATTCTTTGGTTAATATTAATAAAATAAATACTCACATTATAAAAAAAATCTCTCAAATTTGACCTAATAATAGATATTGCAGTGTAAACCAATCAACAAATTCATATGTTTAGGAAAACAAATAGTATAATTATGCAAATATTGAATTATGTTTGTACCTGAAATCTGGTGATCAACATTAGTAACTTTCAGCTGGGATAAAATCAAGTTTTTATTTGGTTTAGCTATATAGGCTGTCCTGCAACAAAGACTGATATCTTTACAGTACTTTGTCATAAGCACTTTAAATTATTGGGCTGGAACCACAGTTAGTCATAATTTTGGACGGATTTAATAATTAGTGATTCAGTACTTATGAATTAAACCCAAACCAATAGCCTATAAAATGACCCATAATCATTTTTATGTTTTTCTTCTGTAAGTGATATGTTGTGGTACTTGTGTGATTTTCATTTACTTCACATAGGAGAGAAACCTTTAAAATTGTGTTGGTTGGGAGAATGCAGAAGGGCTTGAAGTTATTTGCCCTAATTTCTTTTGACAGCAGCCACATGGAGCCCTTCATTCAAGAAAAGCATTCAGGAAATGAGTTTTGGCTTCAATAGTAAGCCAGTATGCACATTCTGAGCCCAGTTATGACCCAGAGAACTTTCTAGGAAAACTGTTATCTTTATTTCCTCTTGTCCTTTAAAACTGCCAACAAGAGAAATGATTAGCATTAAAAGAAGGATTCCCTCTTCTTGTTCAGAGCTAATTTGGAACTGTACAGCTGTCAAGATTTAAAATAGCTGAATTTGTTTTTCTTTGTGTGGCTCTCTAGCAGGAATAGAGAAAACACTGTGAATATCAGATTCTGAGATTGATTGGCCCTACTGAGGTGTGAGCAAAGTATGATGTTTGAACACAAGGTGAAAAGAACAAGCTAGCCCCACCTTCTCCATCATTGTTCTTCTTATGTAGAAGTGATATATACAGTGGTACCTTGCTAGACGATTGCCTCGTGGTGCGAAAAACCTGCAAGATGATTGTTTTTTGTGATCACTGTGGTGCCTCGCAAGATGTTTTTTCTATGACTGTGCTTCGCAAGACTTTTTTTTAGACCGTTGCTTCGCAAGAAGGGTATTTTTTTTTTTAGACTGATGCATAGGAAACCTCGCAAGATATTTTGTCACAAGACAACAATTTTCGTGGAATGAATTAAAATCGTTTTGCAAGGCACGACTGTATTGGAAGAGAGAATATTTTGCTTGTGCATGGTCTCCTTGTGACAAAGAACATGGAGGGGAAAAAGTATTTGAGATATATTAGAAAGCCGCAGATGTTAAAATGATGATTGAATGGGAAATGGAATAAGAAAAAAAATCACTTAGTGAATTTTCCTTACAGGTAACCAGGTCCAGTAGTTACACCAAAAAGTCACAGTTTCAGGTCGAAGAAGAAGATATTGAGAAGCTGGAAGTCAGGTATATTCTTTCACATGTCTTAATTTTGCTAATTTCATACAAAACAGTTCGGTGTTGTTGTTGTTTAAGAAGTTACTCAGTGACTGCTGAAAACTATCGAGAGTAACATGGTGAGAGGACTTCCTCTTACGTTAAATTGACTTTGAAAGACACTTCAAACGTTGAATGGTTCTCTTAGCAGAAAATTAATTAATTTATTTTAAATAGTTAGTGTACCATATTCAAAACTACTTGACTAAAAAAGTATTGTCTTCTATATTCATTTAAGACTAACAGTATACTTCTACTCAGAAGTCAGTGCTATTGCATTCAGTAGCACTGTGTGCATAGGACTGCAGTTTAAATGTCATTGCTAACCTAAGGCTCACACACATAGTCTTTATACAGTATGCATAGACAGCCTGAGAAAAGTGCCTTTATCTAGGCTCGGGAAGATTGGGCAAACTCACTTCTCACTGTACTAGAATCATGAGGAGAAGCAACACTGATTTTAGTAGTTGAAAATAAGGAATAGCGTATTACTTAATTTGCCTTCAATTGAACTTTAGTTTGGAACATCAGAATAGATATATCTTTTAGGGCAGCAAAAGGAACATGACCATGCTGCAACACAATGGATTTTATTTTTCTTCTTCTTAATATATGTGCTGTCTTAACAGAAATATCAGTGAGGTAAGATACAATAACCCAAATAGAGTGCATGCCTTTGGTCTTCTGTAGCTTTTTGGGTTGTGAGAACTTGAGCTCTTTTGGTTAAAAGTAGAAGTCAGTGCATGTTTAATTGAAGTGTTTCAGTTTAGGAAGAATAAGCAGTAACATAGGAGTATTAATAAAGAAATAAAAGCAAAAGTGAACTGAAAGTGCCTGGAAAGAAAATTGCATTTTCACTTGTCTTTTCTTTGAGTACCACAATGCTTTTCAATATTTGCTTTTATCTTATTGATAAAGCTTAATATCTAACCACTGTGCTGGTATTCTCCTGATTGAATCCTGTTGAAATAAGATATTTTCTTACTTTAACTTAAAAGAATGTTAAGTGTGAAATCATAACCTTGTTTGTATGCATGCTGAGTTGATATGACACTCTGTGTGAAATTTTTATATCAGGTGACTCTTCTTAAATTTTTTTAATTGTTTATGGTAATTATGATAGTAATTATTAACTACAACTTAACTTTCAGAGTTGATTTATGGAACAATGGCAACTTGGTGCCAGACCTCTTCCTAGGAGGAATTAAGATTCCTGTCAAAATGTTAGGAAGTGTTTCCTTCCAAGCATGGTAAGAAATGAAGCAAAAGGTAACTGTCCTATTGCTAAAATAAAAACAGGATTTGTACTGTGTTTGATGATGTCAGAATTTTCATCTGGAAATCGAGACATATTACCAGTTGTTTCTTACAAAAGTATACTGAAAATAGACAGCTTGATTGCTCATTTTGTCCTACTTATTGACTTCAATATTGTTTAAATCTTGGCTATGGATTTCATTGAACGTTATTACAAAATTGATGCCAATAACTGATAAATCCCTTTGCTTTGAGTAGGATTTTTATCCCATCAAAAGCCAGATCAGTAGAACCAAAGATGTCCTTGCCCCTAGATTTCCTGCAAGCATAACTGAATTGCTAGCACTGGTTCCATATTTGGTAGGGACCCAAATATTGCATCGCATGTACAAGGGTATTCATGGCACCATTTTATCTAGAGTCCTCTTGTTTGCTCGCTAGGTGTGCTAGATCTAAAGACCTCACCTTTCAGATCTGGAGTCAATATGGGTATTTTTATTATTTTTGAGGACTGTAGGATTAATTCTCTACTCTCAGGATGCAGTGGTGGCCTCACCAGCACTAAAATGAATGAAAGTTGTGAAGAGCAAAACCAAGTATTAAAAACTCATTTCTAGTTTCAATTTTGTGGCTATGGGTTTTTGTGGTAGAGGTGTTGTGCACCCATTTTATTGCAAATCCACCACTCCTGCAGTCTTAAAGAATAGCAAATGTTGGGGCAGGGGCAGAGTTGGGGCATCTAGGAAGACTAAAACAGCATTGGAGGGCCAGATGTGGTCCCTGGTTACATTTTGCCTATCCCTAAACTAATTTATGAGTTGGGAAAGGAATAGTAATTGAGGGGGGAAAACCCTTTTTTCCTATCCATTCTGGCCATATTGATCTTGTAGGGCTTGGGAAGTGATAAATCTTCCAGTATGAATTCTTGAAAGCAGTAAATGCTGAAAAATCCACCAGAACCTGGCTAGCCAACAATCTGAGTGCATATAGTTTCTTGTTCTGCAGCTTTTCTTGGGCTAATACCATAAAGTATATCAGAAGCACATGTATATCAATAAGCTTCATTTGTCAGTATATTTGCATCTTGAATGTAGTATGCTGTACCACTTGAATATGTCTCAAGCCTTGCAATAACTTTCTCTTTTTAAAAAAAGGTACCTTCTGCAACCAAGAGATAATGGAAATAAGCCTACTAAAATGGATGATCATGGATCACTAAGATTAAATATATATTATACTGAAGACTATGTACTTCCATCAGAGTATTATGTTTCCCTCAGAGAGTTGCTGCTAAAATCATCAGAAGTGGAGGTACTGGGTTGGAATCTTAACATTTTAAGACGAAGTATAGGCAGAATCACTAACTCCCATATCACATTTGTATGTTGGACAGCAGCATAAGTGGCTTCATTACTTTTAAGGTCTTCTAAAGGATAACCAGATTTTTAGCAAGGGTCACAACCCAAAGTAATAGCTCTACATGGTTCATGGGGGGAAAGCCTTTGTAAAGTGCTTTGACATGGCTAGTGTGAAAGTTAAAGTTCAAAGAAAATCTGCTATGGTCCTTTACTAAGATCTAAAGTAGCTATCTGCATAATAAGAATCACATAATTGATTAGTTTTGTTGTACTTCTTGAGAAATCATTAGTACAAGGGTGGGGAACCTTTGACTGATTGACTTTAAATGTGCAGCTCCCTAAGTTCTTCCTATCATTGCCATTCTGCGAAGTTGTGGGAATTACAATTTGAAACATTTGGAAGAGCAAAACCTTCCACCTTAATGTAATATACTCTCAATGAATTCTGAATGTTAGCTTTGCACTCTTGTGTTCAAATATGTAATACACACTCTGCTTGTTAAGAAGCAACTGCTGTGTCATTCAGCAGAGTTAGCATTGTACCAAGAGAAAGCAGACCTTGCAAACTTGATGTCCGTCTTGAGAGGAGGGCAACCCCAATTTTTTTCTAGCTCTACTTGCTATTGGAGTCTCCTGAATTATGAGTTAGGATTGCATCTAGCACTGATTCAGCCTTAGGCATGAGAAGAGAACAGCAGCTGGCTACTATAGTTTGTCATTAAGTGAAAAGGATGTCTGATTTAAACACAGTTTTGTGCCAATAGTGTCGCAAGCATGACAACTATTTTGTTAGGAAAAGAAAGTGAATCATGCTTGTTGTTCTTATGTGCCATCAAATTGCCTCTGACTTATGGAGACCCTATGAATGAGTGGTCTCCAATGTCCTGTCCTCAACAGTTCTGCTTAGCTCTTGTAAACTGAAGCCGGTGGCTTCCTTTTGGGAGTCAGTCCATCTTGTATTGGGACTTTAATGTTAAAATTGAGAATATAGTGAACAGCTAATAAATGTGCAAATTTCAACTTGAAGTGAATCTTCTGTTGAGGAAGTTTGTAATTTATCTATCATATATTGTCTAGTAGCACTTTAGAACATTCTATGTTTTAGAACTTGTTTAAATCCTGATTTCATGGTTTACTTTTAGTATTACTAGTACTTATTTTAGTTGTATCTTCCCCTTTTTTGTAGCCAATCTCTGCTTCGGCTGCTTACATTTTGGCTGAAGTGTGTCGTGATAAATATGATGCTATTTTGCCTCTTGTAAGATTGTTACTACATCATCATACACTAGTACAGTTTGTCACTGCAGTGGCAGAATTAGAATTGAAGGATACACAGTAAGTGCTTGTTTTCTCTCTCTTACCAAATCCCACCCCTGCGTCCATGCAGATGATATGTATGTAAAATTTCTTTCCTTCATTTTTCTGTGTAGTCAATTCAAGCAGTAGACATGGTCTTTTTAGGTAGCATGCTTCAGCCTACATATGTACCTTTTCAAAAGATATATAATTGGTTGTTCAGCATCCTTTTAATTAGTGCTTGCTATTGGATGCAAAATACATACTTGACACATCTGCAATACATACATATAAACTATTGTTTCTGGCCATAGACCTTTACAATGTAGTTACTACTGTAGCATATAAAATCCAATTTAAAAAGGTAATTACCTTAAAACCAACAAAACCCCATCTAAGAATATTGTTATAACTTGTAATGTCAGTCCACTGTATTCAGCATTTATGTGGCATTATGATCCTTGACAAATCGAAGCCTCAGCTTCTTAGCTGCTACTGCAAATTATGCTACAGCATATGTAATGTGCAACTGTGTATCGGCAAGCAATCCTACTACTGTTTCAGTGTTGGTACAGTTATCTACAAATAATAGATTTGTTGTGGTAAAGCATTTAAGACTTAAAGAATTAAATGGTCTTTCTGGCCCTGATTTCTTTTAATTATGAATAATATAGATGGCTGCTTAGGACAGATATTGCCTTACACTTAATCTCAATATATAGATGACTTGATGCCATTTTAGACGCTAGATGCCATGGGTAGTTCACAACATACAATAAAATCATACAATAAAAACCCACAGTATACAATAAATAAATATATAAAAAACCAATAAACCTACCTTTAAATAGAATTACACAAATTAAAATGCATTTAAACATCTCAGGTCAGCAGTTAAACAGTAATAGAAGACAATTTTATATAATTCCATCTCAGTTAGCTTCCTAATAATTGAGGGAAGGGGCCACAACTGAAAGCTCAGTTTCTGGTGCTACCTCTTTTGGCTTCCTTGATTGTCACAATTTTTAACATCAAGGACTGCAAGGAGCAGGTGGATGGGTAGTAGCTATTTTGTGAAAGAGATGTTCCACCAGGTATTGAAATCCTAAACTGTAAAGGATTTTAGAGGTCATGAACAACATGTTAAACTGAGCACAGAAACCAACAGGGAGCTGATGAAGGTATGCCAAGATTGGTAGTTTGTGTTCATGTCTGCTTAATCAGAGTGGCAGCCAAATTTTGGATCTGTTGAAGTTTCTGTATGGACTTCACGTGACAGCCCCACATAGAGACTACTATAGGAGTTTATTTCAGACATTACCAATCCATGAACCATTATTAGGCATTTCTTTTCCAGGTAGAGGTGAAGCTGGGCAATCAACCAAAGTTGATACAAGGCACTTTTCACCACAGCAGATATTAGCACCTTCATAGAGAGAGCTCAGTCCAAAAATAGCCCCAGACTGCAAACCTAGTCCTTAAGGGGGAATATAACCCCATAGACCCTAGGCAAATATCCCTCTCAACTGTAGAATCTCCATCTTAATTGAATTTAGTTTGAGTTTTCAGATAACATTTGTTATGATCCATTTTATGTTAAAATGTTTTAGTATAAAGAAAGAAAAAAGGGGAAGTTTACTTGGGTTTACTTTTGTTTTTCTTTTGTGAAGTAATGGATATTTAGGGGATGAATAACTAACAACAAACCATTCCTTTGTCTTAATTTTTCATTTATTCATATTGTATTACAGAGAAGCAAATACAATCTTCCGAGGAAACTCTTTAGCTACTCGATGCCTAGACGAGATGATGAAAATAGTGGGAAACTACTACCTCAAAGTTACCTTAAAACCAATTCTGGATGAGGTATAATAAAGTTGTGCATAAAAACTTCCAGGATATGTTGATGAGTGCTGCAAAAAATATCCCACATGCTTAAAGATTAATGCTATAAAATTGGAAACTGTTTCTAGCTTTGTGCCACAAATGTGATTCATTTATCTTTATTATGGTCACTGACCAGCAGATCTATTCAAATAGTAGTATTACATGAAAATACAATTTTTAAAAAAGTGCTACATAGATTAACAGTAAAATTCCATATATACAACCTATTGCAATATGACTAAATTTTATAGAATCTCCATAGTTTTCACAGGACTGAGAAGATTATTAAATCAATTCAGTAAGCTTTGTACTGCCTCCGGTCCCACATCCTAATATGCCACACTTAAAATGTCTGCATTAACTACCTGAAGGCTTGTAGTATTTCTTTAGATCCATATACGTGGGTGTATGCAACTTTTGAGTACTTTGCATAAGAATGCCAGTTGCTGTGAATCAATTCAGTAAACTTTGTACTGCCTCCGGTCTCACATCCTAATATGCTACACTTCAAATGTCTGCATTAACTACCTGAAGGCCTGTAGTATTTCTTTAGATCCATATACATGGGTGTATGCAACTTTTGAGTACTTTTGCATAAGAATGCCAGTTGCTGTACCATCTTTTAAAATGAGAACTCTGTTAACATGTTGTGGTAAAGAGAAAGAAAAAAAGGGGGAAGTTTACTTGGGTTTTCTTTGGCTTTTGTGTTATGAAGTTATGAAAGTTTGGGGAATGAATAACAACAAGCCATTTAGAGACCTTTATTAATAAGCAACATTATTAATGTCAATTACAGTCATAATATCACTAATAGAATAAGGATTTATAAAATACTTGGAAACGTTCCAATACTTATATGGCCAGTAGAAAGGCGGGAATGGGGAGTCGCCTATGCACAACATTTATAACTAAAGATATTCCTTCTGGAATGTACCTTCTCAACATATTAATGAAAGAAGAATGTGTAATTACAATAACTGACTAAAACTGCAGTTCTGTATGCAGTTGGGAAGCCTCAGCGCAACTGATTTCCAAGTATAGATGCATGTTATTCTTTATTTTTACTTCAGATATGTGAGAATCCTAAACCTTGTGAAATTGATACTCTGAAATTGAAAGAAGCAGATAATGTAGAAGTACACAAGGTATGTTTCTGTGATTTTGTTTTTTATGTAGTTGAGAGGCAAGCATCAATATGTTTACATCATTGGCTCTTCATATAACTAGTAACAGTTAACTGATGCTTGTCTCTATAAGAAGGAAAAACGCTGAGAAACCTCGTCATGACTTGTTTCATTATCTGAATCACCTTCAAATTATCAATGTGCTCCATTTTTTAACTTCATTATGCAGAGAACAGTAATTTATGCTATTCTACAGCAGTATGTGATACTGAGTATGTTTCTTCTATATCTTAAACAAAATGCTGAGTCAGTGATATACAGTCTTCAAAGTTTCTACTGCTTAGGTTTCAGGGATTTTTTTGATAACATGGAAATATTGGGGTCATATATATCATGAATCAGATATATCCTAAAAGCAATAAAGAAATTGAACTGCATGCCTCTGTCAGTAGCGGCTAGACATGAGCTATTCATATTTGTGTCCCTGGGGATACGAATGCAAATCGTGGCACCACAGGTGTCATGGAGGCTCATTGCCTCCCCCAGAACTGGCCAGTCCATTCACCATTCACTTTGTAGCACTCAGCTCCATTGTCATCATGCCAGTTGCAGGAGCCTGGCCAGCTCTCCCCTGTCTGATCACTTTTGGTGCGGAGGTGAGACAGGAAGTCTCCCTGCTCAGTTGATGAGTGGTCAGCTGTGCAGGGAGGCAGGCAAAAGCCGGTCCGGCTCGTTCTGCAGTTGGCACAACAACAACAGAGCCAAGCGCCATGCAGTGAATGATGAGTGGACTAGCCAGTTCTTGAGGAGGGAATGAGGCTTCGTGGTACCTGTGGTGCCACAATTTGTATTCGTATCCACAGGAATATGAATACAAATAGCTCATGTATAATAGTGACACAAAAACTATTTTCTGGGTGGCTGATATCACTGAGGATAGTAAAAGAAGATACTGTTGACCATTGCCAATGATTTGAAGAATGTTTTAATATGATTTTATATTACTTTCTGTTGGCTTTTAAAGTTCTTGATTTACACTTATGATATGTGCAGAGGTAGTCCTTTTATGGTCAAATTGACACCATGCATATGTATTTGTAGATGATACTTTTCTCTGTGGTAGTGTAATAAACTGATAAGTGGTTATATGGCTGCCTGAAATTATTTGTTTGTCCTAACAGGAAAATTTGCGCTACTATGTTGACAAAGTATTCAGAACAATTGTACAGTCAAGTATAAGTTGCCCTACTTTAATGTGTGACATGTTTTGTTCCCTGAGGCACTTAGCTGCTAAAAGATTTCCTAGTAAGTGTGTCAATATTGTTTTGTCTTTGTTAGAATCATGGTTTAATAAGTTTATTTGATGTTTAATAGGTTTGGTAGAATACATGAAGAATCCAAAAAGCTGAATTAGCAACTAATATTATTTCCTAAAATTTGAAAAATAATTACTTTATTGTGCTCATATCACATGTACTAGTGAATATTATTAGGTATCAATAGCTATATACTTCTTACTCTAGAGTACCAATATGATATGTATATTTTGAAATACATCTATTCACTCAATACAGAATGTGCAATTGTAAATATCAAGGCATTCTGTTTTCTGTGTACAATATACTTATATTATAAAACATCTCTCTCCAAAAATATATGGAATTGTGCTTGCTGCAGAAAGTAAAACAGCTATACTCTGAAAAGTATTTCAATCTGTAGTGTGTTTAATGTAAAATATACATGACCTTTTAGGATAGGATGCTAAAACATGGCTTAAGATTACGTGAACAAGTCTCCAGTCTTTGAGCTCCACTTCTCTTCTAGTGTGAGAAGAATGAATGTTCTTGTTTCAATTTTAAACTTGCAAAATCTAAATAAACTGTTGTTATCTTTAACTATAGTTTAGGGAAATAAGCCAAAATGAAACTACAGTTCATGTTCCTTCCCCCCCAAACCATAATAAATAAAACCGCCCGGAGAGTGCTTGTAGCGCTATGGGGCGGTATATAAGTCCAATAAATAAATAAATAAATAAAGTTAACTATGGTTTGGGATTTAGACATAGCTATAAACCATGGTGGATGCAAACAGAAACAAACATTTCCAATGTTCTTCTAGAACACCAGAGAGGGTGAAGGGAGTTTGTAACCCTAAGGTTTGTGCTCATAATCTTAAATCATATTGTAGTATTGTATCCAAGCCAGATGTGTGATTATTGATTTATGGTTTCATAACTCATAGCAAAGCATCTTACATCATAGCCCCACTTCCATATCATGCTACTTGCTAGTTCTCTATTCTGCAGAAGAGTATCTCTTTTCCTACTGACTGTTCTGCTAAAGTTTTTCACTGTCTTCATTTCCTACTACGTTTTCATACATTTTACATATCATGGTTTTTCTCTGCAGATGACCCTCATGTACAGTATTCTGCAGTGAGCAGCTTTGTGTTTCTTCGTTTCTTTGCTGTAGCTGTAGTATCGCCTCATACTTTCCATTTACGACCTCACCATCCAGTAAGTTTTGCTAACACTATGTTCAACCTCTGTATGCCGGTTTAGTTATGAGGATGTATGCAGAAATAAATTTGGCATCTGTAAAGCAAAAAGAGTTGAATAGAAAGCTTGGATGCACCCTGGATGTTTCTAAGAATTCAACTCTAGTTATCTACGTAGTCTCTAAATCACAAAATATTCTGAGCTTTTTGCATGTTTGAAAACACTTCGAGTTAGACAACCCACATTACTGAAAAGAATCAGGGATATAGGTAACAGTATTCTGACAATTTGATACATTGTTTGGATTGATTGATTGATTCCCCTCCTATCTAGACCGAAGTCTACTCTGGGTGGGTTTATTTCCTTTTAACTTCAAGTTAATTTCAGAACATTTGACAGTCCTAAAAGAACAGCTCAGGTCATACCAAAGACAAATATGGAGAGTTGCATAGCTGATATTTTGGGAATGTATTTTCAGAGGATGGGCATTTTCAGATCAAGAATTATTTTTAAAAATGTGCCAGGAAGCTGATGCACACTGGCCAGTGACTACTGCTGCATGTGAGAGCAGTTAAGCAAATCCTGGGGCTTTTGTATATATGTGTTTGTTATGATGCCTGAAACTGAAGGGACCTGGCATTTTGGTTTTTCTCTCTTTGGCAAGCCATCAAAATAATGCATGGTTTTGTTCGGTCTTCATTAATGTTTATGACTCCAGATTGTCAGGAGAAACAAACCAGTGTTCTCAGCATGGTACCTAGCTTCCACAGACACTAGGCTTGTTGTGATGTCTGTTCTGGGCCAGCAGAACACGGAGTATCAAATGGGACTGTTACAACATACTTCCACATACCTCATTCAGTATGCTGGTTTCATATCTTTTCTGACCCAAAAATGTTTACTGTGTAGGGAAAGCACTAGCTGGCCTTATTAGCTAATTTTTCTGCATTGCTGGGGTTTTTTTTGTCATGGACACTTGTCTGCCAAACTGTTGCAAATTTAGAACCATTTCAGTGCAAATAGAGTTTCTGGTCAAATTAAAAACATGTGTTAGGATAATGCATTTTTCTTCTTCTTGGATTATTATTTTGCATTTATTTGTAGTTAGTATAATTTCTTTACACAAGAATCTCTCATAGTGGAGTAAACCTTTTGATGCAATGTTTTGTGAGCTGATGCACTCATTAGGGCAGTGAACGTCTGCCCTAATTACAGAATACTAAATACCTGTAGCATTGACTAGATATTTTTGTGGAGTTCTTGATTGCAAATTCTTTACAGTGTGACCTTTTAGTAGTTTTTACTCCTCATCAATACACTATATGTATAATTTGCCTAGCAAATTTTCAGCTTTCTGTTCCACTATCTCTTCTCACCCATGGCTCTCATACCTGTTCAGCTTTCTGATCTTTGAAAGACTAGCAAGTGTTCAGTAACCAATAATTTAATACTTAATATTTCTTTAACTAGTATATATTTGGGACTGTTCTGTAAAAACTTAGTACCTTTTGAAACAAAGCACAATTACTTCCATGCTGGGAAATATCAAATGAAAATTGCAAAACGAGAGTCTGTAGAGCCTGGTGACTCTTTATTAAGGGATGGAGCCATACCTACTTTGAGGAGAATTTCCCTGATTTGAAGGATGTTACCTGTGGTGACTAATCAAGGAAATACAGTACATTGTGCTTATAAATCCTGCACCCCAAATATATATTCTGAAGAGCCAGGGTACAGTCTCAAATAACATACGAGTTGTGCAAGGGATTGCAGGATGAGGTCCACTGTGCCTTTGGTGAAAGATTACAGGCCCTTGAACTCCCACTAGGCACTTTTGAATATTTTCCACTGTAATCTCCACACCCATGTATTGTGTCATCACATCTCACTGAAGCTTATACAAGTGGCCTCTGTAATTCTGTGTCATGAAGCAGTTGTGTAGCAGAGTTCTTCTGCATCAGGTTCTTTCCCTGTAATACTTTAACAACAGTTATGATGTATTTTCTGCCTTTGTTCTTCAATCATGTAAAACAACATTTACTCTGTTTCTAAATATCTCTTTTAGGATGCACAGACGTCTAGAACATTAACACTTATCTCAAAAGCCATTCAGACACTAGGAAGCTGGGGAAGTTTGTCCAGAAGCAAATTGGTATGTATTCTAATGATTTATTCAAATGATTTTGGTTAGAGATGGGGGTATTCATATATGAATACCCCTCACAGGTGGAGATAAGAAGGGTCTGGCCCCTTGGGGCCAGACTGTCCACTTACCGTTCCGCTGCTGCTGCGGGCTCCATGCTCCCTATTTCTCCAGAGGTCTTGGGGGATTAGCCACTCTTCGGCCTGGCAGAGAGGCTCATCATCCCACCTCCTCCCAGGAGTGGCTAATCCGCTCTCTAATTTTGGTATCTTTCTGTTAAAGTTGACTTATATCACTTCTCTCTCTTCAGTCAAGCCTCAAGGAGACATTTATGTGTGAATTTTTCAAAATGTTTCAGGAAGAGGAATATATTGAAGCTGTCAAAAAGGTATTCCTTTTGTATATTCATGATACTTGGGTATTAAAAAAGCTGTGGTCCCTGTAAAGAGCTTAGGACGTGTTATCTTATTTGATTCTCAGAGTAATTCTGTGAAGTAGGTTATTCTTGGAAATGGTTAAAAAATATCAACCAATTAACTTTATAGCTTATATGGAATTTTTATCAAGATCCAATCCTGATACCATGTTATCCTTTACTTTTTACTTGTTTTATTGAAATACATATTTAGGTGTTGGCAATATTTTATATCACTTTTTAATGGCATAAATAAAGAAATATGCATTTAAAGGGTTTTGGAACTGTACATTTATTTGTAAATCGACTTTGACAGGTTAAAACCAAATTGCTCATGAATGCATATCTTTAACCTTCTACAATTAAGTTTGGAGTACAGTTTTTCTAATAATGTCTCTATCTTCAGTTTTTAGATGAGGTATCGTCTAGTGAAAGTAAAGAGCCAAGTGTGATGAGTGAGCCAGTGCATCTAAAAGAAGGGTAAGTGATTTACATTTTTTAACGCAGGAAAGTGTTTTTTTTCTTGAAACGTGTATCTTCTAGCATGCCTCTCTTTCAGTTCTAGTTCAGAAACATTGTTTCCTAGCTACTGAAGTGCCAACTGTCTATGAAGCAGAAGCTTTGACTTTTAATATCTATGCTTCTGCAAAAAAAGTGTATAATACAGCATTCTTCTTTGTGGTCTCTGTGAATGCACATTAATGGGTTTTAGCGCGCTTGCGCAGGGAACCTCAGAATATTCTAGAGCTTAAAACCATGTTGTTAGGACCTTCATCACAGTTAGCTCCACCCACAGCACCGAGTGCCTAAGTTCCTTTTTTGCTGCCATTGAAGCAGCATCTCAGCTTTGGACCTTCTGTTTTTCCTTCTGGAAATTATACTTCAACTTTTCAGCTTACAACCTTGGATCGCAATCACAACGTTACCGGACCTTCCTCTGTGAGTTAAAAAAAAAACTGATAGAGAGTTAGGAAAATCGTTAACAGTTTTTCCCATCCTTTTTTCCATCGGCCCTGCCCTCTTCTTTTATGGCCTCTTCAGGCCTCTTTAAAAGGTGTAAATCCTGCCCAAATAAGATTACTCTTTCCAACTGGCATTCATACTGTCTTTTTTGTTTGGGAGAGGAACATCAACCATCTTCATGTCAGGCCTGCAAAAATCTAACCAAACCAGCCCTTAAATTATGATTCCAATGATTGAGATCCTTTCTTTGGGAAAACTGTCTTCAACCATCCCAAGGGACCACCATGGAAACTTCCCAATCTTGCACCTCAGAGTCTTCTCCAAGCTCCCAGAGTCATTCACCGATCAGAAGACCACAACCTTCAAAAAATTCCAAAACATCTGCTAAATCTTATCCCTTGACACCAGGACAGAAAACGACTCCCACTCACTCGTCAGTATTGACACCAAAGTCCATCTTGGTATCAAAACCGAAGAAGAAGAAGAAGAAGCCGTCAGCTAAGCAGCCTGCAGATAAGACTGGATCATCGGCTTTGACTACGGAACAACTTTGTCAAGAGGCATTCTGCCTCGACCTGGTATCTGGGGATGAGGCTACAGCTCTCCCCCTTCCTGACACCGCGCCATCCCCGCAAATCAGTCTTTTTCCTGACTGAGGGAATACCTCAGCTGAGGTTATCGCAATTGCACAAATGAGCCCACAATCACCTCTCGGCTCGATCTCAGGCCATACATCGATGTTGGCACTGGAGTCGATCCATGCTGATCCTCCTAGAAAAAGGACGAAGAAGACTCATCACAACAAGCCTTCAAGAGACACTGAAAGTTACAAATACTGTGCCTCACGTCTCAGGGCTGTATCTCTGGAACCTTTGTACCGACACTGTGGCTACAAGAGGATGCGCCTGTACAACCACATAGTTTACTATGAGCCCGACCTCTACTACTATCCAAGGTCGTATGAGACAGATCCATGAAACTGACTCACTTTCTCCGTCGCTGTCACCCCCTTGATATCAACTTCATACCGAGTGATATCCTTCCTCTGCTGATGAATGTCAGAGTTTACCACCACATTGGTACCGCAAGAGACCCTTACCTCTTGATCAATGGGCGACTCACATCGAATCCAAACATCCACACCAGGTACCTTCGATTCCGATTCGTCTATCCCGAGTTCAGATGGTACCACAGCGTTAATCCTCATCAGAACCACCTCCACAAAAACCTATAAAGTCAAAGGGAAAAGTCTCTCAATGAACACAAGTTGAGCCCTTGTGTTCTGTCTCTACTAGAAGAGGTCTGTCTCCATCACCAGATCAGATCCCTATCTCCTTCAACACAGATACCAAGGATTCCGATGTCAAAACTGTATGAGACTCTTCACCAAACATCCCTACCACGGATTCTGATGTTGTGGAGAACCATCCTCTTTCTCTGAGGATTTTTCTTCCTATTCTCAGCTAATACTGAGGATAGCAAAGGTCTTGGATCTGGCTGTAGACCAACCAGTGTTAGAAGAGGTGGACATGGTCTATTAATACATCACCCAGGACCAGAATCCTCTTCTTTGTCTCGCGTTCATATCATCCCTCCTTAAACTCATCAAGGAGTCTTGGAACAAGCAGTCTTTGACCCTCCAGATCCCTCGAAGGGTCAAAAATCTGTACAAAATTCATGGTGACAATGCTGCCTTCTTCGCCAAACACCCCCTGCCTAACTCTTAGTCAGTGCCACTCAGAACAGAGCCAGAAATCACTGCACGTCCACCGCAAACAACAAAGAAGGGAAGTTATTTAGATGTGATCGGTTGCCAGGTTTACTCCCTTGCTTCCTTCATTTTAAGAGTGGCAGATTACACCATAGCCATGGGTGCATACCACCACTACCCGTGGAAGAAGGCACTGCCTGCACTTGAAACAGAATCAGATGATGTCCGGACCCGGGGCCTCTCTTGCAATCAGGAGGCCATGGCTCTGGCATGGCAGGAATGAATTGCAGCATGCCACGTTGTTCAAATAAATAGCAACAACCATGACACTTAAGTTGTCATGCCAGGTTACGATCTGCAGGCATATTCGATTATGCTAGATCCAGGATTGAGGACTTACCTTTTGATTATGTAGGTCTCTTTGATGAAAAGACTGATGAGATCCTGGATAACCTATGGAAATTGAGGAGAACAGTTCAATCATACAATAACCAGCAATTCCAGCCTCACAACGCCTGGCATCATCCCTATACCTACCAGCAGTATAGGTCTCCTCAAGACTGTCAATGGCCACAGACTTCTGCTATGCCACCTGTCTCCTTCCAACAACAAGCAGCACAACAATGTCCATGCCAATCCACCCGTCAGCCTGACCGGAAAACAAGGCAGAACCTTTGACTTGCTCCACATATCAGCTGTGGACAACTACTCAACCCGCCTAGCCCTATTTTTCAATACTTGGCAATGCATCATCTCAGACTCATGGGTCCTTACCATCATTGCCAGGGGCTATGTCATCATGTTCAATTCCATCCCACCAACTGGGTTTGTCAAGATTATGACCCCTTCCCCTGCATTGGAGAAGAAGACATGACCTTTACTACAAAAGGATGCCATCTCAGAAGTACATCACACAGATGTCACCTCCGGGTTCTATTCCTGATACTTTGCAGTCCCAAAGAAGGCCGGTGGTCTTTGTCCTATCTTGAATCCCTGCCATCTTAATTCATCCATCACACCTTGGCGATTCCACATGATTACCTTGGACAACACTATCCAGATGCTCCAACACGATGATTGGTTCACTGTTACAGATCTAAAGGACACATACTTTCATATAAACATACATCCAGACCATCACAAATTCCTCAGGTTCTCAGTCAGAGGGGTGACATACAAATTCAAAGGTCTTGCATTTGGATTGTCAACCACCCCACAGGTGTTTACCAAATATCTTGCACCTGTAGCTGCATATCTCCGCCTCCAAGGCATCACCATCTTTCCATACCTGGACGATTGGCTTCTGCTATTTTCATCTCAAACTAAATCAGAAAGAGATACCGAGTGCACTCTGTCCCTATTATCCAACCTGGGGCTCCAGGGTAAATTTCTCAAAATCTATTCTCCAGCCGGCTCAGCGGATCACTTATATAGGAGCAGTTCTTGACTCCACTTGTGGCTGTGCTTTTCTGCCAGAGAACAGAATAACAAATCTTTGTTTTATGCTTTAGTTCTTCCTACCAGGTGGACTCATCTTTGCCCACCTGACCCAGTGTCTCTTAGACTTCATGGCTTCTATGACGGCTGTCATCCAGCATGCTCGCCTAAATATGCAGTCCCTCCAAGTGTAGTACCTGACTTTCTTTGACCACTTAGTTCACCTTCCATCCAAGATACTTTGTTTGTTTGTTTTATTGGATTTCTACCCCGCCCATCTAGACCAAAGGTCTACTCTGGGCAGCAAGGTGTTGGATGAGCTTGTATCTCAACTGACATGGTGGGGAAACAATTCCAACCCCATTATCGGCAGATCATTCAGCCAACTCACCTTGTCAGTACAAGTCACCACAGATACAAGTCCATCCAACTGGGGCACCCATTGCAACGATGAGACCATACACGGCTTATGGACCCCTTCCGAGGCGAACCTCCACATCAACCCCTTGGAGCTTCTTGCAGAAATTGAAGCCTTCAAAGGTCTGATCACATGTCATGCAGTTCAGGTTGCGACTGACAATATGACGACACTCTTCTACATCAACAAGCAAGGAGGGACACTCTTCATTTCACTGCTGTACCTGACAGTACACCTATGGGGGTGGTGTTACATCCGTTACATTTACCCTGTCCAGTTCACATCTCAACAGAGAGAAACACAGTGGCAGACCACCTCAGCAGATTACACTCCTGCAGCCACAAGTGGTCCCTCAACGACAGCGTATTTCGTCTTCTATGCCCTTGTTGGAGCACACCACGTGTGGATGTTTTTGCATCCGCTGTCAACAAGAAATGCTACCAGTACTGCTTAAGAGCAGGGATAGGTCATCAATCAATAGGAGATGCCTTCATAACCAACTGGACAGTCAGCCTCCTATATCTGTTCCCACCCATTCCACTCATACAAAGGGTGATCGGACAACTTGAATGCCATCTTGATCACCCCGTACTGGCCTCACCAACCAAAGGGTTTTCAACCCTTTGGACCATGGCCACAGACTTTTTCCGCCTCCCACAGGTTCCTCACCTACTTTCGCTCAACCAGAGCAAGATGTTCCATCCAGACCTAGACAAGTTACACCTGACAGCATGGTGGGTACTCCCACAGTAGCTGAAGTCTTGAGCCAGGCTCACAAGCATTTCACAACATTATTGTACTGCTACAAATGGAAAGTCTTCTCCACATTTGCCTCTCTCTGTCACTTACCTGTTCTCCCTACCTTGCTGGATGCTGTACTTCAATTCTTCCTCCATCTCTTCTGTCGTGGTCTCTCGCACTCCACTTTGAAAGTCTATATTGCAGCAATACGGCTCATCAACCTCATGGCTCGGAAGCCATGTCTCTTTTCTGCCATCCTATGGGTAAACAATTCCTGCGTGGTCTAAAGGTCTACCTGTACACCCGGTATACAGGCCTCTGACTCCTCAATGGTCACTGCAGCTTGTGCTCAACCATCTGATGCCTTTGAGGCCTTAGCTATGTTATCAGAAAAACTACTGACTTTAAATATTGCTTTCCTTGTCTTGTCGGGGCATGGTGGCGCTGCAGGATAAAGGGCAGAAGCCTGTTCTACAGGGTCAGAAGACCAAGCAATCGTAAGATCGAATCCTCGTGACGGAGTGAGGGCCCGTCGCTTGTCCCAGCTCCCGCCAACCTAGCCGTTCGAAAGCATAGAAATGCAAGTAGATAAATAGGGACCACCTCGGTGGAAAGGTAACAGCATTCTGTGTCTAAGTCACACTGGCCGTGTGACCACGGAAGATTGTCTTCGGACAAAAACGTTGGCTCTATGGCTTGGAAACGGAGATGAGCACCGCCCCCTAGAGTCTAACCCGACTGGACAAAAATTGTCAAGGGGAACCTTTACCTTTACCTTCCTTGTCTCAGTCACATCAGCTCATAGAGCCAGTGAACTCTACTCTTGGGTCTTCGTTTTGATCCACTTTTCCTCCAATTTCACCCTGACAATGTCACACTGACCTTGCCTTCCTACCTAAGGTGGTTTCTCTTTTTCACCTAAATCAACCAATTATTCTACCTACATTCTTCTCTTCACCTGCGTCTCAGTTAGAACGATGGATGTCAGACATTACTATTGTACACGTATTGCCTTTTTCTATCCAGTGGAAGAAGAGGCTTGCTTAGTGGCATCACTTGCCTCTTGTGGCGTTCAACCTTGTGACCCTTGCTTGTCCTTCTGTCACAAAGGCTCACGTCGCGTTTTCCTCTCGCTGCCACCAGTGGATTACCTCAATCCACAATATAAATGACATTTTTCAGGACACTTGTCTTGTGAACACAAACAGAACTTATTTATTGAAGTGAAGCAGATTGAATAATAACAGAAGTCCTTCACATACACATTATACACAAGCAAATCATTAACAGCTCTCTCTCAGTACATCTTTTCTCTTGCTATATACCACCTTTTCTACCTATTTTCTTGACAAGCTTTATCTCTCTCAGTATTTGTTCCCTCTCTCTCTGACTAACCAGCCCTTATCTCTGACTCCTCCTTCTCCCACCAAACCTCATGTAGCTGCTGGCTCCGCCTCTCACAACTCATTAAGAGTTGTGACGATTGTCACAACTGTTAATCATTTTATTGCAAAGTACATGAAATGAGAAAACTCCAAACCTAAAGACTGGTAACAGTTCTGCTTTTTCCTTTCCAAATTATTGATCCAGAACAGTATGAACAGTTTGTATTGAGAATGAAACATTGTAGAGAAAATGTTAGAAATTAAATCAGTTTGATAGCTGTGCATCCTATGGTCTCATCTTACAATAAGGAATGGTAAAACTATGAGTCAGGGGTACTTTTTAAATGTAGCATCCCCAGCTACACAAGTTTTTAGTTAATATTCCTGGATGTTGTTCTTTGCTTTCTTGTAAATTTTAACCTCTTAAGCTTGGATACTTCATACTCTGTTCTGAACATAAATGATTCAGCTCAAAATCAGGAGCTGAATTCATTAATTCAGCATAAGAAATACTTGAGTTGTGAAGTTTCTTGTCTCCTTGAGTCAGGTATCAGGTTCTGACAGAGTCCCTTCATGGGAGAAAGGCAGGGTTTAAATTGAACAAATAAATTATAAAGTATGTGTATATAATATTCATCTTTTTACAGGGAAATGTACAAAAGAGCACAAGGAAGAACTCGCATTGGGAAAAAGAATTTCAAGAAGCGTTGGTTCTGCCTTACAAGTAGAGAACTGACTTACCATAAGCAACAAGGTACCAGTGGTGCTTCTTTGTGACTTTAGTACTTGATTGTACTCAGTAATGCCTGTATGCAAAGTGTACTAATATTTAATTAATTATATGAGTTTAGTAGTACAGTGGACCCTCGACTTACACAGGGCTCCACTTATGAAATTTTTGACCTACGGATGTCTCCGGCCGCAAAATTTCCCATTGACCTAGGGCCAGAGAATCAACCTACAGACCGGAAGGGGGAGGCGGGGAAAGCAAATTACAAATTGGGCCTTTCCCCCGCCTCTGTCTTCCAGTCCGTAGGCCACCAATCGTGCTTCTGGGGCTACTCCGCTGCCATGGGAGGCATCTTGGAGGTCCCCCCCGCGGCCAATCATGCTTTGGAGGCACAATCAGCAGTGGGAGGGACCTCCGAGATGCCTCCCATGGTGGCGGAGAAGCCGTGGAAGGCATCCGGAGGTCCGCCTAACCGCTGATTGTGCCCCCGAAGTTCAATTGGCGGCAGCGGGACCTCTGAGATGCCCCCATGGTGGCGGAGAAGCCCTGGAAGGCCTCCGGAGGTCCCCCTCACCGCCGATCATGCCTCCAGAGAAGCTGGAGGTTCACCTCACTGCCTTGGAGGAAAGGATACGATCTGAGAGGGCAGCTTCCCACACATTGTAATGCACAGAACAGGAAGTATGTCAAAGGGAGCAGTGCATCTCAGAAACACAACAGCAGTGAATACAGGACACTAGCATGGTGGACAAGCAAAAGTGCTTTTGTCAGAACACTAGCCTATGGGAGGGCCATTGGTGACATTGTAATGAGTATTCAGGGGCTACAGACCCAAATGTAAATTTCCTCATCTCTTGTGCTAGCTACATGTCGCACTGGCTTTCCCTCCATTGTTGTTTTGTTGTTGTTTAGTCGTTAAGTCATGTCCGACTCTTGATGACCCCATGGACCAGTACATGTCAAGCCCTCTTGTCTTCCACTACCTCCCAGAGTTGGGTCAAATTCATGTTCCATGACACTGTCCAACCATCTTGTCCTCTGTCGTCCCCTTCTCCTCTTGCCTTCACACTTTCCCAACATCAGGGTCTTTTCCAGGGAGTCTTCTCTTCTCATTAGATGGCCAAATGTATTGGAGCCTCAGCTTAAGGATCTGTCCTTCCAGTATGCACTCAGGGTTGATTTCCTTCAGAATGGATAGATTTGTTACAGTCCAGGGGGCTCTCAAGTCTCCTCCAGCACCACAATTCAAAAGCATCAATTCTTCGGCGGTCAGCCTTCTTTATGGTTCAGCTCTCACTTCCATACATCGCTACTGGAAAAAACATAGTTGTGACTATGCGGACCTTTGTCAGCAAAGTGATGTCCCTGCTTTTAAGATGCTGTCATGGTTTGTCGTCATCACTTTCCACCCAAGTAGCAGGTGTCTTTTAATTTCGTGGCTGCTGTCACCATCTGCAGTGACCATGGAGCTCAAGAAAGAAAACTATCACTGCCTCCATCTCTTCCCCTTCTGTTTTGCCAGGAGGTGATGGGACCAGTGTCTGTTATCTTAGTTTTTTTGATATTGAGCTTCAGACCATTTTTGGTGCTTTCCTCTTTCACCCTCATTAAGAGGTTTTTTAATTCCTCCTCTCTTTCTGCCGTCAGAGTGGTATCATCTGCATATCTGAGGTTTAGTAGACCATAGTCCTATTCATGTTTAATTAAAACAACAAAAATTAAAAGTACTTTTTCATATTTTGACAGTTTCATAAAACAGGGTCAACTTTAAAATAGTATTTTGTTTGCAAATCTGCTTCCTACTTTCCCAGTAGAAGAGGCTGTCCTAATATATATGTGAATTAACTGTTAAAGAGCAGGCAATTATATATATTTTATTACATTTTCCCATAACTTCCTGAGAAATGAAAAAAGACACTGTGGGAATTATACTTCTGTATGATGAAAGGTATATTTTATGAAGGAGTTGTCTCCTGCATACTGATCTCTACTATTTTTACCCCATTTATACCAATTCAGTTACTTTTATTTATGCAGATAAAGAACCTATCTATACCATTCCCATCAGAAACATCCTTGCTGTGGAAAAACTTGATGAGAGTGCATTTAACAAGAAGAATGTAAGTGACTATTACAGCTTTATTTTTATGGGCTTCTAGTGGCCAAGCATAAAGAGTTGTACAATTCCAAAAATTATTTAAAAAAAAACTAAAAAGAAGCTTTAATTCCAGCAAGGAAATGTCACATGAAAGACTGGCTGTATATACTAAAAAGATGCTTGGCTGTTTTGGGAACGTTTCATGAGGAGGACATTTCCATAAGTATGGGATAAAATTAATCTTTCTAAAATTCCTTGTTACATGATTTGAGCTAAGCATACTTCTGTTCCATATAGAAAGCTTTCCATATATACTCTAATGTACAGAGTGAGCTTTTTGTTATGATTCCGGGTAATGGTGTGTAGATTCTGGTTTCTTAGCTAATGATATTTGAAATGTTCAGCTGGTACTTCGTTCAGAAGGGATCTCTCTGAATTCACTGCCCGCCAGATAATGGATGGATGGATAACGTTATTATGGTTGAAGACCAGCAAGACCAGAACATGCAATTGCAATTTTATAAAACTAAGCAGAATTATACATTCTTCCATTAAAAACATGATAAATCAACCCCTTCTTTCAAATTCATAGTATCATAATCAGCGAAACTGACTCTATATCTTTAAAATAGGTGAAACCTTGGCCAGTGTTATGTTATAAAAGCATTATATTGCGTTTTAGATTGCAACCCAAATATCTGGTCACAAATAACTATCACTGCAGCGCAAGAGTTTGGCCACTTCTCTTGTAATATAAGGGGTATTGTCAGAGAGTAGCAACTATACATAATACTCCTCTGATCTCCCAGGAGATTTACAGATAATAGGAAGTAAAAGGTCCATACGTAAATTCCAATAGCAAGTACAATATAAGAGAACATGCCCAACTGTTTCAACTTTGTTACTATTAAAATGGCAGATACAATCTGATGGAGGCAAAGTTCGGAATCTTCCCTCCAGAAGCTTAGAAGGTAATGCATTAAGTCTGGCTAGTGTAAAAACCCTTGTGGCTTTAGATGAGATAGTATACCCTAAGATAGAGGTGTCATAATCAATTTCACATTGGGCCACATTTGCATTATGGTTGCCCTCAAAGGGCTGGTTGTATCTGTAAGACTATATAAATGTACTGTATTTTTCCATTTATAAGGCACCCCCATGTATAAGACCCCCCCAATTTTCCAACCCAAAATTAAGAAATCTAAGCAGGGTTTAGAAAGTGGAGGGGGAAGGAGGGATCAAAGCACTTTGATGATTCCTGCTTTCCCCCTCCACTTTCTTCCAAAGAAAGTGGAAGGGGAAAGCAGGGATCAAAGCATTTTTATTCCCTTCCCTCTCCTTACCTCCATGTATAAAACAACTCTCAATTTTTAATTTAAAGGTTTTAGACATATGTATCGTGTTATATACAGAAAAATATGGTATTTTCTCTTTATCATATTAAATATAATCCTCTTCATTCGATTATTACTGGCTTTAGTAATAATGTAAGTAATAATTAGCTCTGAAAGTAAAAGTCTAAGATCAAAGTCTAGAAATAATGGCAAGCAGATATTCAAGTGTACTACTATTGTACAATTTATTGAAAAGTGAGTTTTAATAATACCTGTTGAGGCCCACTCCACGGCCCCACCCATGTTTGTTTTGTTAATTATGCACAGAAGTCTTCCACCTTTCCCTCATGCTTGCCACAGGCTTCGGCCCTTGTTATCACCTGGCTCCTCATAGCCGATGCGGGAGAGGAGGCAGACATGGCCACTGCTGGGCAACACCATCAAATGGTCCTCACTGGGAGCCATAAGAATTGGAGTGGGCAATAACAAGGACTACATTTCCCATGGTGCTGTACGCCACCCAAGCAGCTGCACTTTCTGACTATTTGCTGCTTGGAATGCTGGGATTAGAAGTCCCGCTGGGTGGATTCCTAGCATCCTTGCAAAGCATTATGGGGACTGAGTAAGTGCCTGCATATTATATGCTGCACAGTAGCAGGATTCAGCTTGCGGGCCTTGAGTTTGACACATGTGCCCTAAGATAATGGAAAAAAGCATCAGAAAAATACATTGATTCACATGGGAGATCAGTTTTTTCATGCTTCACCTTTGGGGGTGTGTGTAATGATTTTCAGTGAAGAATGGTGGTGTAATGCTTCTTGTTAAATAGTTCTGCTTTAAATGGCAGAATAATGCATGGTTGATTATACTGAGTAGGTGCTTTCTAGCCTAAGATAAAAGGCAGTGTAGACAAGGATAAAGTGACAAGTAACTACCGTATTTTTCGCTCCATAAGACACACAGACTTTCCACCCCCCTGTTTTGTGGGGAAAAAGTGTGTCTTATGGTGCAAAAAATACGGTAACTTTGTAGCTAGATATTGACTAGAGCAGTTCATCAGATCAATATGTTATTGTTCGTGATAGAAAATTCTTTAAATTGTTGAATGCCACAGCCAGTGAAGAAAATCATGTGCTCTTATAGTTTAATGTCTTCTAAATGAATTCCATTGGTTACTGAGTGATTTTTTTTCCAGATGTTTCAAGTGATACATGTTGAAAAGCCACTCTATGTGCAAGCAAATAACTGTGTGGAGGCTAGTGAGTGGATAGAAGCTCTCTGTAGAGTCAGCAGATGTAATCAAAAACGACTGAATGTTTATCATCCTTCTGCTTTTTTGAATGGGAACTGGCTTTGCTGTAAAGCCTCATCAGAGAATTCAGTGGGCTGTACTCCATGTACTGCGTAAGTAACTTCTTTAAGGAAAGGTGTACAAATACACACACACATAGAGAAAGAAATAGAAGTAAGGTTATATTTCACTTGTTTCACTATGTATGATATTCATGGACACACCAATGTCTAATGGTGTCCCATATCAGAATGGTGTGAGTTCATATGGTCCACTTGTCAGTTCCATTTATATATAAAATCATTATCTCTTGAACTGTGTTCTTATAAATACCTATTAGCACTGATTACCATAGAATGATGGTATGATTTGGTCTTGGATTACCATGTGGGAATGGCAGATTTCCACCTCCCTGCATAGTCTTTGCTAACATGCACTTCAGCTAATCATGTCTCCACGTACTATCACACTGTACATTTCTCTGTCACTAGTAGAATTGCAGCGTGAGAGGAAGGGAAAAACTTGATTGTCATTTGAGGGGATTAGTGCTATTTTATTTGTAAACAAATAATGGTATACAGAAGAAAAGGCATCCTAACTAGATATCTACAATTTATAAATTTTAATTGCAGGGGTGTACCTGCTGACATTCAAATAGAGATTGATGGGGATCGAGAAACAGAGAGGATCTACTCACTTTTTGCTGTCAATATGCCAAAGCTGCAGAAGATGGAAGGTATTAGAATACCTGTTTATTCAAGTAGCACTTGCTTGTTGTAAATAACAAGATAGGGTGATTTTGGGAGGGTCATGTAATGGAAACTTATATCACTTTCCTGTAATCACTTTATTTTAAAATGTGAGTTTGAGCCAGACACAAGTGCACATAATAAAGCTTGTAAAAGCCGATCTGTCTTTCCAAACCTTATTAGCTCCCCTGCACCACATGGTATCAAGAGCCTTTGTGGAGCATTTTTCAGGTAGGAGAATACGGTCCTCCTAAGTTGAAACAGTGTGAAGTTGTAGCTCTTTTCTCTGAGCCTAATACATTGTAGACACAACTTCTTTCAGTGTTACATTAGCAAAATCTAATCAGGTACTCTTGTCATAAGCCTTACTAAAATCAAAATATACTATATCTACAGCATTCTCTTCATCTACCAAGTTTATTGCTCCATTGTGGGGGGGGCAAATAAGAGTTTGGTTTGAACCATGCTGTGTCTTGGAAATTGCCAGATTCTTTTCTAAATAGCCACAGACTTACCATTTAGTGATCTAATTAAGATCCTTTCTAGTTTCAATGTCAAGCTGACCATTTCAATTGCTCTGATTTTGTTTCTTCTTTTTGAAGGTGGTGACATTTGTCTACTTCGTCTTTAGGAACCTCTCCTGTTCTCTAGGAATTCATTAAGATTGTAGACTGCACTTCTGATATCACATCTGCAAGTTCCTTTAATACACTGATATGCACTTTACCTGGCCCATGAGGCTTGAATTCATTTAAAGTAGCTGGATATCACTTTACTGTCTCTTTGCCTATTTTAGACAACTGACTTTTGCTTTCCTTCTATACTCTACTGAGCATTGTTTTCCTTTAGGGAAAAAACAAAGGGAAAGTAGATCTTCAACAGTCTTGCATTTTCTGTTTTCTGGAGCATTTCTCCATCCTTTCAGTGTAGGAGAGCTGTACAATACATTCCTTGTTCTTTCTCTTGTTATGACATAGCTGGAAAAGCCCATTTCATTTTTCAAAATCTTCTTTGTAAATCTGAACTCATTTTGAGCTTTAAAGGCAGTAAATTAAAAAAAAACACACCAATATATTGTGCTCACAGAGATTTTTGGGGTATGTGATGACATTTAGGCAGCCAGTGTGGGGGAGGATCAAAGGGTGAGTGGAGAACAAAAACAACCTCTAGATCCTCAGGTGCTGTCCAATCCTGAGATACAGTTTATTTTGACTAGTTCCATTCTTCATTTCCCTCCAAGATCTGGAGGGATCTTCAGGTTGCTTTTGTTAGTGCAGAATACACAGAAAAGTTTCAGCAGAGTAACTTCAAGGTCCTTGTGGCAAAATGACTCACACAGACACGATCAGCTTCTTCCACCACCAGACGTATATTTACAGGATATTTACAAGTATACAGAGTGACAGCATGACACCATGAATTCATCAGAAGAGCAAGAATGCATCTTCTCTGCACATATATACACTTATGCATCTGGCTGTGTCCAATCAGCACAGATGTTGCATCATCTTTGAGCCAGCCCTCCTGAGTCACAATGACTCAGCATTTTGATACACCTGAAAATCATGGCTGCTCATTAGGACATTTGTTCGGCTCAGGCCTGTAAATTTTATACTCTGACAGCTTTTCATGCTGAGCAGCACACAGTTTTCTAGTAAATGCCAAGAAAAGGCACCTCTATTCTACCAGGAAGATCATTCACGTAGGGACCTGTACAGATATTAACAAAGAGCTAACCACTTTTTCGTGGAAGAGAATATGAAAGTTGATTCTAGATACAGTGGTGTCCTGCATAATGATTACCCCGTTTAATGACGAAATCGCTTCACAATGTTTTTGAAATCACTATTGCGATCGCAAAACAATGTTTCAAAGGGCCTTTTTCACTTCCCAACGACCAGTTCCTTGCTTTGGGAAAGTTTTTTGCTTTACGACGATCAGAAAACAGCTGATCGTCGGGTTTCAAAATGGCTCCCTGCTGGGCTTAGGATGAATTCCTCACATTACAGGCACCAGAAAATGGCCGCCCTATGGAGGATCTTCACTGGACGCTGAGGTATTTCGCCCATTGGAACGCATTGAGTGGTTTTCAATGCGTTTCAATGGGCTTTTTACTTTCGCTTGACGACGATTTCGTTCTATAGCGATTTCACTGGAACGGATTAACGTCGTCAAGCGAAGCACCACTGTATTACAGAACTTCAAAGTATGAGGCCGGCAGACCTTATGCTTTTGATTTGCTTTCTGAAGCTAACTGTTTCTTAACTGCATGCTCATTCATAAGGAAGGTTACATTCCTGCCCCCTAGAATAGTTTCTTCTCCAGTATCAATGGGGTGTTGCTGTCAAATGTCACTGTCTAGTCCAACTCCTTTCAACATCTGTGTAATCTTCATGTGATGGATACAATTGGACAGCCTGCATGGAGAAGTCCTTCTGAGGTCCCCTCATTGCCAGGTATTCCTCACTATGGCTGTGAGACTCTTACACTGGAATATTGCATTAGAAAGGGTAGGTGCCACAGTGGGTATCTTCTTTGCTGAAGTCAACTGCAGCATAAATTAGAGCTGCTACAACCTGTCTCATCCTGTTCCACATCACACAAAATCTAAGTAGTTAGCATTTGCTGAGATCTTGTAAACCGCCAAGTAGTGGAGCTGGGAGGTCTATTTTCTGCATGAAGAAGCAATACATCTCATACAATAAGTGGAATAATCCTTTTTTAATTATGACCCAGCACATCAAATGGAAGCTTGATTTGTTTCACATTCAGCTTCTTAAGAGACTGATCCTGGGCCCAGGAAAATAAAGTTCCAGCAAGAAGGTATTCTAGTAGTCATCAGGCAGTGCCATACCACAAGAGTCTATTGTGCCTTTGGGTGGGAAGAGCTACCCAATTTTACTTGTCTAGCCTCCTCTCTTCACTCTTACTAGCTTTATTGTGGAAGGAACTGGTAGATGCAGCTAGTGGTCTCAATATACAGTAAAGATAAGTTACCATGTCATCTCTTCCTGTATACTGAGCATTAATTTCTTGCATGTCAAAAAGGATTTTTACATTAAGTAACCAATGCTCTATTCCCTCATACTATGCTACATATTTTCAGAGGCTTGTGGAAGTATAGCAGTTTATCAAGGTCCACGGAAGGAACCAGATGATTATTCCAATTTCAAAATTGAGGACTCAGTAGCCACTTTTCAAACTCTTCAGCAAATAATATCTGTTGTAGAACAGTTGAATGAACATCATGACAGATACCAGAAGAAAAGGTCATCTAATGCTAAATATGGCAGTGAGTAAGTATTGCAGATGTGTCTCTCAAAGTCAGTTCTGAACGTCTTAGGAATGGACCTCAACAGATGGGAAACCCTCACATCTGAACGTTCAGCGGCCTCTCCCAATTTGAAGAGACCCTTGTCCAGCAGGCTGAGGCAAAGAGGCAGTCACAAAAGCAGCAAAATCAGGGAGCTGGACAAGGGACAGATTGCATTTGTCTTCAGTGTGGAAAGGATTGTCACTCTCGAATTGGCCTTCTCAGCCACACTAGACGCTGTTCCAAGTCTTCATACAGGGCATGTTACCATAGTCTCTCGAGAATGAAGGATACATAATCTAAAATCAAATATCTCAAAGTATGTTTCCCAACACATTAAGAATGCATGTCAGTGTAATCTGGTCTGCAGGTGATTTACGTAGTTTGGTCTAAAGTGCCAGCCACAGACTTCTGTCATATTAGAAAATGCAAGTGAGTGTGTTTGTGAAAATTATTTGAATTAAACAAGTTACTTTCATACACCTGAATAATTAACATAGATGATTGTATTAAGTCGGCTATTCATACTTCCTCCAGCTCTTGGGACACATTGCATTATGTATTAGCATAGGTTACACCATGTACCAAATTTCCACTTGGTATAGGTTTGACATATGAAATAAGTATTACTGTACATCTACAACATTTGGTTGTTAGGCTAGATGAGCTGGTATAATTGTTAAACATATTAAATTTTGATGGGAGACACTGCTGTAGCAAATTTGTTGATCAGTAACAAGCATGTTCATTACTTCAGGGAAACAAAATTACCACTCTTACCCAGCTACATCTAAGTACAGTGGTGCCTTGCTTAGTGATCACTCCATTGAGCGATGAAATCGCTTTGCGATGGACTTTTGGCCATCGCTGGAGCGATCGCTTAGCGATGTCCTCTATGGCTAAAATTTGCTTTGCGATGATCGCGGGGAAGCGATCGTGGCAAAGCGAACTTTTTAAAACAACTGATCAGCTGTTCCAAAATGGCCGCCGCTGTTTTGCCTCGCTGTAGAGGCACCCAAAATGGCCACCGCTATGGAGGAATTTCGCTTTAAGGTAAGGTTTTAGCCCATAGGAACGTATTAAATGCGTTTTAATACGTTCCTATGGGCTTTTTAAAATCGCTTAGCGATTAAATCGCTTAGCGATGTTTTTTCCGGAACGGATTAACATCGCTAAGTGAGGCAGCACTGTATAACTTATTTTAAGGAACCTTGATTACCAGTACTATGAACTTACATTGATCAGGTGATATATGGTTAAGGTTATAACAGTAATGCAGGAAGACATTCTGAAAACCATTATAATCAGGAAGTACTACTGTTGTAAGTTTAAAAAAGCAAATATTTTTCCACAATCACCGTTGCTTCAAACGATGTATAATAACTTGATCTCTCTCTCTTTTTTTCAGAGAAAATCCAATTATTGGGAAAATGTCCTAATTTGCAACATAGATTGTTTCTGAAGAAACTGGAGTCATTTTTACTCTGGTTTTTTGTGGACCCAGAGTATTTAAGAATGTACATTGCCTGGAAATTAGTTGTATTCACAATCAATCTATTTAATATTTAATAGGGAAAAGACCAGCCAAGGAATTTGGTTTCTTCTGGGAGTACAGAAATCATTTTGTGTATTGCTTTAAAAACCTAAAAGTTCCAGAAGATGCAACTAATTTTCTAGAGCTTTAAGGAAAAAGGAATAAGCTTTCCAAGGGATGAAGATAACCCTCACCACTGGTGGAATTTTGTGTCTGCCAAGATAATCATCGTTTTCATTTGAAGAATCATTAGTATATGTTCTATGGACAATAAATCTTGGTGAAAGTAATCCCAAAAGGTGACAAAAGAATTTGAAGCTTTACTTTCAGTGCACAGCCACTTTGTATATTGTCATTTTTTAATCTACAGTAGCTATTTTGTAAAGAAAAGGTGGTACTTTTTAAATCTGCATTGACAATTAGTGATGTATTATTTAAGTGATGTTACTGAAGCAGGACAAGCCAGGGACTCTACATTTTGTTTACAGTTGGAGCAGGTAGTGAAAGAAGCAACATGGGACCACTTGTCTGTATTTTGTCTTCTTAAATAATCAGTTACTAGCAGTTTCTTTAGTAGTCAGGACTTTTAGTAGTACAATTTCATGCTGTTCAGGAAATAATTTGGTGGAGCATCAGGTAATATCTACCTACCAACAAGTAAAAAATATGGCAAATGATAGGAGATACACACTGGACGTGTCAAATCCAATTGCAATGAGATGGTTTTGGAAATCACTCCAAGCACTTTAGATATCTGGATAGCCCCAGATTATAATTCCAGATACTTTGTAGTATCTAAATGTTATGATCAGTTTAATGATCAGTATTGTGGCTTAAAAATGCTTTTGTGAACATTTTTATATCTAGTTTTTTTTTACTTGCGAGGTAAAGTTTTGGTCTCAGCTTTGCCTTTAGAAACTGTTAATCTTGCCTTGTTGCTATTTTTCTTGGCATAGGCTGATAAAAGTATCTGTACATAATGAACAGAAACTTCTTATCACTTGGGAGAAGAAAAGGATAAGCTTCATTCAGTCAGTATTTTTGGATGTGGTACTAAAAAGCCTCATCTTGGGAGCAATTTGTGGAGCACTATGAAAATGGATGTATTTCCACAGAAGTCACAACCAGAGTATATGTACTTTGCCCTTATAATTTACTTTTTCAGCATATCTTTTAAATGTTATTTTCACAATTGTAGATAAAGTTGTATCGTTTGATAGAAATTTGAAATAAGGATATTTAAAAATACAGGCCGCTTGAAATATTATATCAACCATAATAGTGTGCAACAGGAGTAAACAGTCAGCTCCCAGAGCTTTAAGCAATAAATCGTGCATCCAGTGAGGCTTTTTTTAAATTGCCTCCTCACTGACTAGTTTTGATGTCATAAAGCATGTTAGGGAAGGGGAACTAAAGTTCATGGTGTGCAGTGGCTTTGTGTAGAACGTAACTAGATATCCAAATGAATTAATAAGAGATTGAATGCTGCAACCTGTGTAATAAGAACACTTAAGTTATTAATAAGTCTAAATAATTGCAATTGAAGTGCAACTTGTAGATATAAAGTTCATATTATATGTGGGATCCAGCTGGACTGCATAATATGTAGGTGAATCAAAAGTATCAGAATGATTATCCATATCAGAAAACGTACTTTTCCATGTAGTAGAATAGTACTGGACAAGATGACTAGCATTGATTGAAGTCTTATCCAGCATCAAATGTTTTCTGTCAAGACACCTTTATTGCCATTGCCTGACTTACAAAATTTTAAATGTTTAACTGGCATATTCAAAAAAACAAAGACAATCATTCCCAAGTCTTTGAATACATTTAGTCTCCCTACTTGACAATGCAGAATGGCTGACAGCTTTCATATGCCTGGACTGCTCCATATTTTATACGTACCTTTAACAATTTTAGCATCATCCCCATATTTGTGATGTTCATCCCAGCTGTTTATAACTTTACCTGTAATGCCTACATTGAAAAGATAAGGCCATGAGCTCACCACAGACTTTGGAATAACGGACTGTTGAGATTCTAAATCATGCAGGGAGCATCTTTCAGTAGAAAAGGCACCCCAGAGCAGAAATTGCAGCTGAACTCCTCAAGCAATGTGTTCACAAGGGCCTGGATTTAAACATCATCCCATAGCCTTATTTGTCTTTCCCCCTTAACTTAAAGCAGCAGAAGAATGTCATAGCTGCAATTGGACCAATATGGATACTGTTTTGTAGAGCATGTACATGTTGAGTGTTCAGTTTTGTAAAGTAAATGAAGGGCTAGAATGTCCATGTTTTTTCCTGTAAGAACATTGTATTTCTCAGTGCTCTTCCAACATTTTACTAAGCCACATTTGAAACAGCAAGAATATTCAGGTTGGTATACCAGTTCTGTATCATAACCGTTACAATTCACCTGTGTCTCTGCTAGGACAGGGTTGTTTCAGGTACTGTGTGAAGCTGAATCCTTGTTTTCTACAGACCATTCCTTGTATAGGGAGTCACAGCTAAATGTAGCTCTCTGACAAGTGTGACTGTGTGTTTACAAACATGTTTCTTGCATTCATATAGTTAAATATAGATTTAAAAATTGTAATGGGTGAAGTAACTTTCAATGACACTCTGAGCAGCTAGGCAACTATAATTTTGCTGCGGTTTTTGTGCCACTTTGTCAATAGGTACAATAAACATTAAAATATTTGTTAAGCTCTTGTATGTGTCTTACAAACAGCGACTAATGGTTCATGACTCATAGTTGCTTTGATTCTAATGAAACTATATTTCCAGGCCAATTTCAACAACAGTATTTATAGTTATATGGGTGAGGCAGGCATTTTGACGTTAAAGAACCGCCCTGGGTCCTTTCAAGGAGGAAGGTGGGTTAAAATGTTTTAAATAAAGTGTATGAACAAGTTATTTTAAACAAACTGAGTGTTCAAGGTGTCAGGTAGCCATGTTTTCTTCCAGGAAACACCTCTCGTTTTCTCTCTCTTTCCTTCCCCAGCCAACAGGTGGTGTATTTAGTGGTAACAAATACCTTCAGTTCCTATTAGCTTGTTTCTGCTGGTGTCTGTCCCCAACCCCTTTCAGGAGTTTTTTCCTGAAAATGCAAGCCTAAGCTGCTATTCCTTCCCCCTTGTTTATGGAAGATAGCATTTTAGCTACATAAGTGCCATTAATTAGAAAACTCAGACTGCCATAAGTACTGTTTATTTTGCTTGGGAGAAGGGCATTTACCATCTGCCTGTCACTATTGTAAAAGCTTTACAAAGCAAGCAATTAGATTCATGACCAGAGGCTGTGGTCCTTCCTCTGGGAAGTCATTTCCTCCCCGGGGCAAAACGGAGACTTCCCAGGTCTCTCAAGCACCTACCGTGCCCACTGCTTCACCGGTACTTCCCGCGTCTGGTTCACCAGTTAAGTCACTGAAAGATCATGTTAAACAGACCAAAACTAAATCTTCTGCATCAACACAGTCCACCAAATCAAAACTTACGGTATGGGCTTCACCATTACGGACTGATACCGACGAGGACTCTCTGCCTTCTATTACGGGGCAAGCACCTTCTCTGCTTCTTGTGGAGTCACCCTCATAAGCAGGTTCACCTCCTGGCATTACAATGATACAGTCTGTTGGTGGCTTGAGCCCCAATTTGTTGGCTGGCTCAGTTTCTGAAAATGAATCCAGATTGATGGTGGAAAGGCATTAAGAAAAAAGGCAAGACTAAACACCGAAGCCCCTGTACTTGCTGGCATGATACCACCTCTGGCAAGCCTACGCATGAGTTGGGGCTTCAGGTATCAAAGATTTCGAAGGCTCAGAAACATCAACACAAACATGCTAAAAAGTTCGAGCTTTCTATGTTTTATTACCCGCACATGGTTCTGTATCGCCACCATCGTCAGTACTGGCAATTTGAAATGAATCCATATTGTGACCCATGGCTGCAGTGCCCATAGGGATACCCGTCTGATTCATCTGTATCATCAGACAGTACCGACACTTCCGATACCAACACCATGACTCCCTCCATACTGACTAAGTGTCCTTCTACATCAAAGTCTTCAGACCATGTACCAAAGAAGAAAAAAAGGGCAAAGCACTCTGTACCGAGGGCATCCAAAGAAAAGGTTTCGTCCAAGACTGCGTCCAAACCTCTGAAGGCTTCAACTTCTCCGCAGGACCGTGATCAACCCACTGCAAGAATAGGCCAATGTTGCTGGCTCTGATAGCAAGGCTTCATCCTCCAGTACACCTTCTGTACCGAAGCATCAAAAAAGAAAGGCAGACACTTTGCTAGTATTACAAAAAATTTCTAAGCCATCTAAATGCTGCCGAGTTGACTATTCTTCAAACTCCTCGGAATCGTCTTCACAATCTAATCGCTAGGACGGGCAGATCACGTGGGTGTGGGGGGGCAGTCCTAGTGATCTTTTCAGCTGTAAAATATTCTGAGGCTTCTGTGCATGCACAGACTTAACTCATTAATGTGAATTCACAGAGGGCCACTCAAAGAACCAGAGTTACAGGTAAGTAACTTCTCTTATTTTTAATTTGTTAGGAAGAAGTATTTTGTTTAAAGTTTAATTTCATAAGAGAAATACTGAAGTTCAGTAGAAGTACTTGAAATCTGAACATGGCAGTCAATGTTAACATGGAGTTTCATCATTTTAAAATACTTTAAAAATATGTACAGTTTATTTATACAATAGATGCTAAAAATCTGATCAATTTCATTGTGATTCACCTCTCCAAAGTGGCTGAAATAGCAATTCATTCATTCATTCATTCATTCATTCATTTGATTTATACCCCGCCTATCTGGACTACTCGTCCGCAATTGGCATACGGTGTACATATCTCCCTTTTGATTAAGCTTTTTGATTTAAAGAAATAGCAATAATTAACATAACAATAATCTATCTATACAAAATTCTACATCATCATCATCTGATGATGATTCGGCAAAACAATATCAGAAGGAATAAACAGACAAACAAAACCCCTCAATATCACAATTGACCGATTACATCACAGTCCTGCAAAAAAAAAATGCTACAAACCATAGAACACTGGATTCCACAAGGCTCAGTTGAAAAGAATATATCCCAAATTTTCAGCTACAAGCTTCTTACTACTCAAAACATACAAAAAATGTTGTTTGTGCTGAAAGTACCAAACATAATCCCAGATAAAATGATCTAGTCTGCACCCCACAAAGATCTATATTCATACAACCAGTGGCAAAATAATTGCTCCAAGCAGTAGAGCCATAAGAAATCATCTGAAATAAATGCGTCAAGCTTGACCATAGAGATTGAATATTTTTGAATCTGTTAATTTGGAACAAAATAGAAAAACTATAGTACCCCTAGATGTTCATTGGACTTGGTATGTACACATAATTTCCTCATGACTTTACTTGCCTTTGAGATACAGGTAAAGAGACATTAATAGATGCAGAAAAGCCTGCTTGTATGTAGGTCAACTAATTTGTCCTTAATCCCAGCATGGTCTGGATACCTATTAAACTATGTCCTGAGTACAGAGGCTAGATCTCATTAACTATTGCATTCTTACACCCAGGTCTTCTTGGAGAGCAACAAAGAAAGAGGGCCAGACAAGGTCAACACATTGTGAGGTTTGTCTTTGACCCATTCCAGAATTAACAAAATGACCATTCTGCCAACTTTATTAAGGTCCAATGAGACAATGAAAAGCCATTCTTAATTCCAAACCAGGAATATACCATATTTTTCCATGTTTAAGACACCCCTATGTATAAGATACCCCCAATTTTCTAACCCAAAAATTCAGATATCAATATTTTAAACATTAGAAAGAAACACTTTTATTTAGTAATTAGGCAACATTTAAAAGCCAGTACTGTGAGGGCAAGAGGAGAAGAGGACGACAGAGGATGAGATGGTTGGACAGTGTCATCGAAGCTACCATGAATTTCACCAAACTCCGGGAGGCAGTGGAAGACAGGAGGGCCTGGCATGCTCTGGTCCATGGGGTCACAAAGAGTCGGACACGATTTAATGACTAAACAACAAGAACAACTATATTATGCATCACCCTTAGCTGAGCAAATCACTTCATTCTGTCTCTATTTGCACCACTGCTTTCTTCTTCATGTCTATTAGTAGTTTCAAACATACCAGTTATTTCAACTTTTATTACATCACTGCTGTCTTCTGAGTCACTGCCTACGTATATGAGATCATTCTCTGTTCTGTCCATGGCATTGCTGATTTCACATTTCTTGAAGGAGTTCACAATCACCTCTTTTTTGATGCCATACCATGAGTTTAGAACCAAATTGCTAACCTCAGTAATGGTTGGTTTTTTCACTCTTCCTGTCAGTGTCAAGTTACTGCTTTTTAAATCCATCTATTCCATTCTTCTCTCATCAGGACTTTAAATGGCTTGTTGGTTGAGATATATAGTGGCTGTAGCTGACCTGTAAGTCCACCAGGAATAACTGCTAGATCTGTTTATAAATTCGATGCAACCCTTTTTGTCTTTTCTGTTAAAATTTTCTGTGAAATTGAGAGGCACCTCATCTTTATTGTCACTACTTTACTTGTAAGCGACTAATATGTGTATCTACACCAATTATCCATTAGATGTCAGTCTATGCAGACCATGCCAGTATGGTTATTTAGCCACAAGATTTTGATCATTATAAAATTAAAGATCACCATAAAATTAAAACAACAGTGAAAAGGATGGAGTTGGATAAAAGACAGCAGTGCAGACCATATTGGCAAAGGAGTTATCAATATCAAAGAAATAAATCATCTGACAGATCTAAGAGTTCTGAACACTCTACAATACAATAGTTATAATCCACAGATTAATAACAATAAACACAGTTAACATTGTTAAAGAAATCTGATTTAAAAAAAACTAAACAGCATCTTCTACTCAATTTATACCGAGACCAACAATACTGTTCAATTACTTCTGCAATTACAACTTTTTCAAAGACTTACAACACAATGCTGGCGCATATATAAAACCCTGACACCCCATAGCCTTCAATTTGTGGGTTTTAACTGTATAAACCCATGGTTACACACAGAATTTGACAAACTTCTTCCTACAGGGCATGTCCCAGTCAACAAACCATCAAATACTCTCAAGGAAGAACTAGCGACTGTATTAGAAAAACATGCTGATAACATGAAGGTACCAGAAGTACCATAAAGCTGGACCATAAAGAAGGCTGACCGCCAAAGAATTGATGCTTTTGAATTGTGGTGCTGGAGGAGACTCTTGAGAGTCCCCTGGACTGCAAGGAGAACAAACCTAACCATTCTAAAGGAAATCAACCCTGAGTGCTCACTGGAAGGACAGATCCTGAAGCTGAGGCTCCAATACTTTTGGCCATCTCATGAGAAGAGAAAACTCCCTGGAAAAGACCCTGATGTTGGGAAAGTGTGAGGGCAAGAGGAGAAGGGGACGACAGAGGATGAGATGGTTGGACAGTGTCATCGAAGCTACCAACATGAATTTGACCCAACTCCTGGAGGCAGTGGAAGACAGGAGGGCCTGGCGTGCTCTGGTCCATGGGGTCAAGAAGAGTCGGACACGACTAAACAACAACAACAAACCAGGAGTACCCAAGAGGGATGGTGGTTTGCATGCAAGTCTAAAACTGCTAAAGAGTGTCTCCCGCCATGATAATATTCTAGTCTGACATCCAAGTAAAAGAGAGAAGAGATAACTCAACCATGAATTTAATGTGTGGTCTTCAGTGAAGTACAAAAACCTTGGATTATTTTTCATATTAAACATACAGTATCAAATTTGTCCTTTCCTTTACAGTGTATGGTTGATTTCTTCTTGAATTATTTAGAGGTTAACATGTATTATGAAAGATGTGGTTCCTGTCACTTTAAAAAAAAACTATCAGTCCTATTACATGGTTGCTAAGTGACCAGAACACACTCCATTTGTATGAAGAACAGAAGTTCAGTAAGAAATTCCAGAGGCTGAGAGGAGGAGCACTTAAGCCTTCTGTGAATTAGGACAAACTATCTTAGTACTGCACCAGACAATTTTATGATACATTAAGGTGCAGATTTTACATTGAATTAAGCAAAGCAGACAAGTAGTGCTGTTTTCTCCAGTTTGGCAAACTGAGCTAAGGTATGTGGTCTTCTGTTATCAGCCAGTGTTGACTGGCATACAGACTATGAGATGTATGCAGAAATTACAACCAGTTTGCTCCATGATTTTCAGTATATAAGGTATAACTACGGTAGCCTCTGGCAACTGGATACCAGAAATGGGTTAATCTGAAAGGGAGCTACCCCTTTGGAAAAACATGGGTGAGACATCTCTCTTTTGGTAATTCTCAGAACAATGGTGTTTCACAGTCCTTTGATAAGAGTTGAGGCTCTGGGAGGTAACATCACCCACAATGAGAGTGTGTGACGTGGAGACTAACAGCCATCTTCATAAGTCTCAGATGAGAGAGAGGGTCTGAAGGGAGGTAAGGATGTTTGTATCCCAGTAAGAGTTGAGTCTTGCATGGTGGGCAAGCACTCTAGCCAGTGATGCCTTGTTAACTATCTTGCCTATTGAAAATATTTAAACATTCCTGGTTGTTATTAGCATGAAGTTCAAGAGTTGGGAGGTAGTTTTTCAGCCAACACAAGACTTCTTAGAGATTGCATTCTATTGATCATTTATGTTGTACTAAATAGGGGGTATTTGCACCAATCATAGTTGTTAAAAGTCTTTAGTATAATTCTGTGGCACTTCGTAAGTCACAATTATAAGATATGCTTGGGTAAACTCTGCTTCCAACCTGGTTAGCTGATATTGGTATAAGAACCAGTGCTGATGGCACAGAATAAATCTATCTGCCCTTCCTTGGCATGTGGCACTAATAATTCCAGCTGGAGACTGAAATGCTGGAGAGGTGCTTTTTCTTCACCTTTTTGAATATTCTTTGAAAAGTATATTCTAGTTGAGAACACAGAGTATGCAATAATATCCATATACAAGGGGTGCATTCAGCTGCAACAGAGGATATGTTTTATTATTCTGTAGTCTCCAAATTATTACATGTTCGTAGAATTCTTGTGTGCAGTTGATCTCTTGGATGTGTAGTTGATGGGAACTATGATGTTCCACAGGTAGCAGTGCTTCAATTTCCTTTTTATAATATGACTCAGGTAAAGAGGAAATGAAGACCCATAACTAGCACTTCCAACACCCATGGCAAACAGCATAAAATGTGCCCCTGATCAACTTCCTAGTTCACATTGTGAAATAACATGTAATTACAACACTGAGCATCATTCTGTTAGCAGCATTATGAAGCCACAAAAACAATACATGCACATCAACAAATATTATTTAGCATTCCATATATTAATATGCTGCCTAGCCCAGAGGCCCTGTCCTCTGAACTCCAGCAGACCTCTGACAAGGAAGGCCTAGTCTACACACAGTCCAGCCATCTGCCTAGATGCATCCACCTCCTGTTGTCTGGGCCAGACGCCTCGTCTCATAAGCTTCAGGTAGATAGGCCCTCCAGCAGAGAAGGCTTGGTCTAGTCATGATCCATGTAGACTAGTTGCCATCCGGAGGCTGCTGCTGCCACTATCCAGGTCAAGACTCAGATACAGTGGGGTCTCGACTTAAGAACGGCTCAAGTTAAGAACATTTTGACTTAAGAACCGCTCTCATAGGAAAATATTGACTTGACTTACATACTTAGATTTGAGTTAAGAACTGAAAAAAAAAAACCACGTGGGAGGCAGGGAAAGCACAAAATTTGAACTGTCAGTTAACTGTTGGCCAGTGAAAAGGGTACCTGTCTGCTTCCTCACTCCTCCCAGCGTTTAGAGAGTGGATTGGGAGACAGGCTTCGGACTGCCTGGTACTGCCTGGACTGTATTTTCCCTGCCTTCCCTGAACCTTTCTTGACCTAAGAAAAAAAGAAACAAAATATCCCCCTCTAGTGGTCGAAGGCAGAATAGCAGCTTCCCATTAGTTTCTATGGATGGAAAAGAGCAGATACGGATCAAATGGGTTTCAATGCATTCCTATGGGAAATGCAGATTTGACCTGAGAACTTTTTGACTTGAGAACTGCCTTCCAATACGGATTAAGTTCTCAAGTCAAGACCCACTGTAGACCTGCTCTCCACTGTCTCGGCAAGGCCTGGTCTATTAACTATCTGTTGTCTGGATTCCTAAACAGCCTGCTGAAATTCTCATCTGCTCTGGAGATCTGGTCTACCTTGTATTTTCATATGGCACTAGATCCGGCCAAGTTGGGAAGGAGTGCATTGTCTACAGTAAATTTGGTATCCCAGGGCAAAGCCTGTGCTGCCTCATTCTAGTTATGGCTCTGAGGAAATGTTTGTGCGAATGTACAAAGGTGTGTAGATAAATTAGAAATGTCCTTAAGGGAAGTGGCTATATGGAACCTATGCTGCTGATTCATACCATTTGCTGGGGAGCAGCAGTACAATTGGGCTATTTTGCCTTCAGAGTGTCATTCATATCCACCCCTAGATCTTGATAGGCCTCAATTCCACACTGACTATCCCAATATTTTCTTACATTTTGATGACTTTTTGATGAGTAGGGTACTAGGGTGTTCCAAACAGATGAAAACCAGGCAGTTGACACGATTTCACCTAAGTGCCCTCTCCCTGTACACAGAGCCCAGACAGTTCCTTGGTATACTTCTGAAGTACAGGCAATGAAGCGAGAAGGGAGACAGCTGGAGCGCAGGTGGAGGAAATCCCGCTGGGAGTCCAATCAAACACGACTTAGAGCCCATTATTGGGCATATTTCGTGGCAATACGGCGAGTGAAACGGCAATACTGTATGTTTCCAGCTGTACATTGCTTCCTCAGAATGTCATCCAGCAGAGCTGTTTCAGGTGGTCCAGGGTCTTCTTCAACCGGGAAATCCGGTGAAGGTCCCAGACTGCTCATCAGCTCACTGTGATGTTTGCTGTTCATTTTGAGGGGGAAATCGCTCAGATTCGCAGTGGGTTGGACTCCACTGTTACTGCAGAATCAGAGGATGTGTCCAGTGTGCTGTGCTTAGGTCAAGTATTAATGGATGAGTTTCAATTGTTGAGACCTGAGGATGTGGACAGGGTGCTTGGATCTGTCTATTCTACCACCACGCCACTCGACCCTTGCCCATCTTGGCTAATTGGAGGATCTGCCAGGGGGTTCATACCTGGGTCCAGAAGCCGTGAAAGCCACTTTGAGAGAGGGAGTGGTCCCCCCTTGAAAGAGGCAGTAATTCAGCCACTCCTAAAAAAGCCTAACCTGGACCCAAGACTGGTGGTTAACTACCAACCAGTGACAAACCTCCCTTACTTGGGCAAAATGTTGGAGCGGGTTGTGGCCGGGCAACTCCAGGCGCTCCTGGATGAAACAGATTTTCAGGATCTATTTCAATCAGGTTTCAGGCTGGGTTTTGGTATGGAGACAGCCTTGGTTGCCCTGTACAGTGACCTTTGCTGGGAGAGAGACAGGGGGAGTGTGACCCTGTTGATACTCCTGGACCTCTCAGCGGCTTTCAGCACCATCAACCATGGTGTCCTTTTGGATAGGCTGGCTGGGTTGGGAGTTGGGGGCACTGGTTTACGGTGGTTTTGCTCCTTCCTGGCTGGGGTGGTGCTGGGGGACAGTTGCTTTGTCCCATGGCGTTTATGTCATAAGGTTCCTCAGGGCTCGATACTGCCCCCCATGCTGTTTAACATCT